ATCTAAAATCCAATAAACCATCACTTTGATGATCAGTCTAAAGCTGCATTAACTATTGTTACGATACCAATTTTGTCATGCTTCAAAATTGAACGTTGACATGGTCGTATTATCTAACAATCAACACTAGATAATATGAAGGCTAACTCTATAAAATCCATTAATTACTCAAACATCAATGCAAAATATCTTAAAATTTCCATTCTATAAATAATCTACTGTATCAACATTCAAAACTAAATACCAAAAAAAAAAAATCCTACAATAAATAAAGCACTAGAATTTCATTACCTAACCTCGACAAAAACATATAAACAATAATTCCTAAATCACAAAATAAATTCTCCAACTCAGTAACTAACTTCAATTGCCAAGTTAAACTGCAAAATTGAAACACCAACACACTTAAATTTTACTTTTACTTGTACGGAAAAGGATAAATAAACGTAAGCTAGCCACGACGTAGTTATATCTTAACAATCATAAAATGATATCTTTAAATATAAACAAAATGACACATTGATAAATTACTATTTATAAAACGAACAATAAAAAAAGTCATAGAGATACGCACTTTGTTTATCTTAAATTCTTAAATCATGACCTTACTCTAAGATCAAATTGTTGTAGCCATATTATACCCATGATCAATCGACTATTTATAACCAACAATTATATCCCTTTGAGAAGGTCCATTGTTGATTATTATAACACATTGGCGGGCCATTAGAACTAGTTCTAGTGCTAACAACCCCACTCAATGAAGGTCATTAATTAATCATTATGAAGAACACTTTGCAAATCCATTCATAAACATATATCTTTTCTATAAAGACAAAGTTTACACTCACTAACCACAAAACCATCATAACCACACTCACAAAACATTTATTTACAAAAAACTTTTATATATGTAAAAAATTAATTCAATATAGCACATGGTTGACCTTTTTTAGGAGCATGACACATAACATATAGAAAAATAAATGTTGATTAAATCTTTTTATTTATTTTCAAAACAATAGAGTGTGTAAGAATCCACCTATCTCGCTCGCTTCAAACAATTTGAATCCAAATCTCAATTCAAGAACTTATTAATAAGCATAAAACTCTATCAAGAACCATTCAACAATTAACTAGAATACTCTGCCAACTACTTATTGTCTAGTAAACTGACCATAACTCTATCTAGAAAACTCAAAACCTTGTTCTTCTTTTTGAGTTAAGAATCTAGACTCAATTATCTTTCCATCCATCTATAATTAGTCAATTTAATGGTTTTTTTGGTTAATTCACCATCAACCTCGTAATTCACCATTAGCATTACTATCAAGCAGCCTACGCATCCGTCAATATTATAACCATAAACACTCATACAAATATTGGATTAATGCACAATTTGTGGTGTTACATATATACATGGCTTGACATTATTGAACTTGTAAATTCCAAAATTGAATTAATAACCAATTTTGATATTAAATTGAAACCTAACAAAGACAATTGTTTATGACTAAAACAAATGTTAGTTGCCATAAAAAAAAAAAAAAAAAATATATATATATATATATATATATATATATATATATATATATATTTATGACTTCTATTTATATGAATAACGAAAAAACTAGGAATAAAATGAGAATATATTAGAAAATTGTATTAACAATGCACGGATTGGGATAATGATGAAATCGATCACAAACTAAATTAGATGTATCATCCTGTATTGACTTTTTTTTCATCGTTAATTTATATTTTAGAATTATGGTTCTCTATTCAATTTTTTTTTCACTTAAATAAACTATCATAAAAAATTATAATAACATGACTAATATCTATCTCTTTTATATTAAAGAAAATAATATGTATATGTAGCTAAAACATAAAAGGTGTAAAAATCATAATTTCTAGGACAATATACTAACATGAAGTACTTTTTACTTCTTAATTATACAACATTTTATATTATTCTAAATTACTATATATAAAGTTTACTTAATTTTTAGTTTTCGTCAATATTTCAAGTTTTATTAACATATAAACTTAAAATAAGTAATTTATTAGTGGTGAGTAAAATTAACTTTTGCATTATCGAAGGAAACGTAGGATTTTTGTTTATAATGCCATTAGGTAGAGTAGTAATAAATTATATTTCAATTAATTTTGTTAAATAGAATAATTTCACACGTAAATTATCAAGCATGTTAAATTGATGTTCTATTACGAGATATTCACGCTAATTAATGTTATGGTTTAATCACAAACTCTGTGTCTATAGCTGCTAAGTACACTAAAATGTTATGTCACAACTCACAAATTCTTATTAAAAAAAAAAGAAAAAAAGATGAAGGTAATGTTTCAATTAATACTTCTAATGTTATATTATAAAATGGAAGTTTTTTTTATTTATAATAGAGTCACTAAAAGTATGAAAATCAAAATTATTTTATTATAAAAAAAACTGAATGTACAATCGTTAAACTGTATTTATATATATTTTTCTGTGAAACATATGAAAGTATTTATTTTTTTAATATGGCAACACAATTTTAATTAAAAAATATTTATTCTCATTCTCAAAAAGAAAAAAAAATAATTCAATCAGGTTTTTTAAAATAAATATTAACTGTCAACTGCTGCAATTCTTAAAAAAAAAAAAAAAAACTATTAACTAGGTTTCTTAAGGAGAGACTCACCAAAAAGAAAGGGCATTTTCCTATATCGTTATAGAATCCCACGAGCCGAGTTGTCCACGTTACTGCTGTGGATCCGATAGAACAAACTCATTTTAAAATTTTTTTAAAAATTAATTATAATTTATTGTTTAATTATTTTTTTCTAATGTTTTTTTTTTTTTTTATAAATTCTTTTGCTTAAAAAACACAAATCATTCTTCTTTATGGATGAAAAAAAATATTCTCATCGAATTAAAAAGACTTTAAAAATATATTTTTCATAATATTGTATTCTAAAAAATAAAGTTATAATTAATAGATAGACTTTTATAAAAACTAACAAACGAAAAAAAAATTCTTATTTAATGCTGATGAGAAGATTAATTTTTGAAATTATCAATATAACGCTACAGTAGATAGAACAAAATCATTTTAAAATTTTATAATTTTTATAATTAATTTTTTAATTAATTATTTAATTATTTGTGTTTTTCATAAAATTTTTGCTTAAAAAAACATGATTTATTTTTCTTTATTTAGGGATTCCTAAATAAAAACTTGTATTATATAATTTAAACCTGAAATATTAATTAAGAATATTAAAAAAAATGTTTTTAAAAAATATTTTTTTATAAGAATATATCCAAAAAATAAAGTTACAATTAATGTATAGACTTGCATAAAAATTAACCATTATTTAATGTTGATGAGAAGATTAATTTTTTAAAGTACATATATTTGATTTATATATATTCTATAATCACCATTTTGTATGAAAAAAAATAACAATTGATTTTTAAAAATTTTAACACCCAATTAAATTAAAAAAAGAACATAAATTGATGAAAAAATCAAAGAAAAAAGGCATGTAATATATCAGCTAGGGATTAAAATTTTTATTTTAAAATTTCAGGGATTAAAATGAAATAATTCAAAAATTACAAAAAAAAAACTAAGGAAAAAAAAGTAAGAGTTTGAAAATTACAAAAAAAAAAAAAAAAAACCTAAGAAAAAAAGAAAAAAAATCTAAGAGTGAAAATTTAAAAAGAAAAAAACAACTAAGAGTGAATAGTATATTGTGAGGGTTAAAAAAAAGGGAAAAAAAGGAGTGAATAGTACAAAAAAAGTTTAGGATAGTAAATTTTATTTAGTTTTATTATAGTAAGGATAAAAATCAAACATAATAAAAATTTAATGACTAAAATAAAAATATATCACAAAATATAACAAAAAAATATAAATTTTTACTAAAAGTTAAGAAAAAAATTTATTATAAGGATAAAAATTAAATAGAATAAATTTTTAATAACTAAAATAAAAAAATATTATAAAAATGGAAAGAAAAACAATTCTCTAAAAGCTCGGTTAAGCAACCTTGATAAAAAAAAAAAAAAAAGAACAATCGGGAAAAATATTGTTTATTAAAGAGTGAAAGAAACAATGATTGCACAGTGAAAATAGCTAATGCTTTAGAGTATTTTGAAGTATATATATATATATATTAGAAGGAAAAAAAATGGCCTAGGCTTATATGAGGGGAAAAAATAAAGCCAGGCAAGCCTGGCTGCTGGATTCAACCCTGAAAAAAAAAAAAAAAGCAAAAAACATTGTTTAATAAACAGTGAAATAAATAGTAGAAGGCACAGTAAAAATGTGTTCTGTTTTAGATTATTAATAATTTTTGTTTTTGTTTTTGTTTTTGTTTTATTTATAATATTTTCATTTAGATTTTTTTTTAATTTTTTTAATTCTATTTGTGTTTATATCTCTCATATAATACAAGTGTTTTCAATTATTTTTGAAAATACCATAAAATTTCTTCCATCAACATTGGAAGTAAAATTTGACCAATAAAAGTAACCTATTATTCTGTCACAGAAAAAATCACACCAAAAAGAAAACATCAGAAAAGAATAAATTATAATTAGAATAAAAAAAAATTCCAATTCCTCCACTTTCTTTGGTGAAGAACGAACAGAACAAGTTCTGTGGACCCCGCCACAACGGCTGCATCACAACCATTCGTTTTATCTAAAATACAGAAACGATCCAGATTCATTCCTCTGAGTCGGCATGATACACTTTTTATTGCCAGTTAGGCAACTCCAACATCTCGTAGTAAACTCACCTGCACCTGATAAAGATCTCATTGCTCTCTTTGACGATCCCAATAGAGAGAAACTTAAAATTGATAAAAAAAGAAAATAGAAAGAAAAAGAACACAACAGCCTCTGAACACGAAACCGAACAGAGTTTTAGAGAGAGAGAGAGAGGAGAGAGGAGAGAGAGAAATTCAAAAATAGAAAGAGAGAGAGAGAGATGAAGATCACGGCGCTATTGGTATTGAAGTGCGTTCCAGAGGGATCGGATCCGGTTATTTTAGCAAACGCATATGATGTGAGTCATTTCGGGTATTTCCAGCGGTCTAGTGTTAAGGAATTCATTGTTTTTGTCGGTCGAACCGTCGCTAAACGGACCCCATCCGGCCAACGCCAATCTGTCCAGCACGAAGGTACGTTTCTATAAATTCTCAATTTGTTAAGATCTCCCTGTTCGAAGCCTCGTTTTCTCGTTTAGCTTGTCTTCGAATTGGATTTTTAACTTTATATTGATGAATTGATCAAGTTAGGGAATTGTGGATACTTAATTTGATGCCTAATTTTGTAAGTTCGTTAGTTTTTGTGGTGATTTTTGGGATCTTGTGATTTAGATAACTGAATTGTGTGTTTTTGGAATGGAATTGAACTATATAGAGTACATGGTGCATGCTTATAATCGGAATGGACTTTGTGCGTTGGGATTTATGGATGATCATTATCCGGTTCGGAGCTCATTTTCCCTTCTCAATCAGGTAATACTTGCATTCGTGGTGGTGGTTACGGTTTAGCTTGGGTTTTATTTGTTCTTTATGTTGTTAGTTTGTTGATTGAATGAACAACCTATGGATTGATGTATAAATATTGTAAAAACTAAAAACAGACAATTAAAAGCTTTGAAATGCAGCTGTAATTAAGATTTTTTATGATGCTTGATACCTTTAGGTAACGGTGCCAGATATTTTTTCACATTTTGGGATAAAGTTTTTTACTTTGTGGCTCATCAAGACGAAGAACGTTGCAATATGATTTCATGTAAATAGATTAATGTTATTGTTAGGTTTGCTTGAAGTTTCTTTATGTTCCTATAACGCAACAATACATTTGCTCTAGTGACCTCCCCGCTTGACTCTGTAACTTGATAGGGCTTATTTTGTTGGGCTTGGAAGCTGAAATCATATAGGTTATTGTTTCTGCCCAAAAGTTATTACATAGGTTGTTTTTTAAGTGCTAAAGTAGTTTGTGGAAAAAACTCAATTGTATTTTCTATCTTATTGGTTTTATTTTAAGTTGATATATTGTAACGTTGCAGGTGATTGATGAGTATCAAAAGAATTTTGGTGAATCTTGGAGGACTGCACAAGCAGATAGTAATCAACCTTGGCCGTATTTGAATGAAGCTTTGACCAAGTTCCAAGTAAGTTGACTTTTTTTCCCCTTAGTCTCAACCTTGGCCGTAATTTGTTAACGTTTTTGGTTTGATTAATAGAAAGGTTATTTTATTTTATTTTATTTTTATCAAAACTCATGAATCTTAAGGCCTCTTTGTTTTTCGTTCTCTCTTACCTTCTAATTTTTAAATTTTCAGGATCCTGCAGAGGCGGACAAATTGTTAAAAATCCAGAGGGAGTTGGACGAGACAAAAATTATCCTTGTGAGTAGCTGCAGATTACATACATTTAGTTCTTTAATTCTGTATTCTTTCCTACCCTCATCCAGTTAAAGATGCCTGGTCAAATCTGTTGATTGTCCTTTTTCCTGTTTCTATTCTTAGCATTTGGTTGGAGTTATTTTAGTTACACGGTTCTTGCATGTTGGGATAGATGTTTTGGAACCTTATCAATTAGAAAATGAAATACTGCTACAATCAACTCCCACAACATTGTCTGTGATCTATGCTTTTATTCTTTCTTTGCCTGATTAAATTGTAATCATATGCTCTTTGGATAGACCGTAGTGTGGGAACCCAACTCATTCAAATCCAAGTTTAACAGCTAACAAACAGAAAAGGAGGTGATTAAGTTGCAGTAAAACTAGCAGTAGCCTGAACTCCATCCTTGGAAATGTTTCCCTCTCGAATCTGTGGATGGTTATCTTGCCTAAATTCAGTAGCCTGAATTTGAGGTATATCTTAAATCAGTATTACCATAGCACTGAACCAAATGGCAGCTTTTAATCTCATGTGGACTTACATATCCCCAGTCCCTTTTGCAGAATGGGTTGGTGCAATATGCAAAGCACCTGTTTTGTTTAAAAGCCGGAATGTTCATCTCAGTACAGCACTTGACTTGAGATTTTCATGCTGAATACAGCACATATTAAATGATTTTGACCTTATAGGCTTGTGATGTCTAATTTTCAGTCTCAGTTAGCTGGCCTTCTAATTTGCTATTGTTTCCTGACTTTTGCGTGGTACATGAATTTTCTTTTGGATTCTTTCACTAGCTGTTGAGACAAACCTCATGCCAAATGACTTAAAAGCTGAAAGTTTAGGCGTTACTTTTGGTGATTCATAACTGATCTACTGAACGTTATGCTTGTAACTCTCAGTTTCCTAATTTACCCTCTCTGTGACATGTTTGTGTTTTTTTTTTTTTTTCGGGTACAGCATAAGACCATTGACAGTGTGCTTGCACGAGGTGAGAAACTTGACAGTTTAGTTGAGAAGAGTTCTGATCTGAGTGCTGCATCACAGGTACATATGCACAAATTTTTTGATTACCATTATGCTTTTTTCTAGTGTATAGGTATCTGAAAAATTTACATATGCAACTCTTGTGTGTGTGTTTATTTGTTTTTCCTCCCTAATCATGCCGTACAAGTTTAAGAGTTGACAAATTTCTGTTTTTGTTGCTTCATTACACCATCATTGGGTATGTGTGTGTTTTACTGCTGAGAAGGTAATTTCAGAGTGAAAAAAAGTTTATTGACAAAAGGGCGTACAACTTTACCTCATGATTATTTATGTTGGGCTTTCACTATCTACTAATGAGTGTGTTAACTAAAATCTTAAAGATATTTGATCATTCTGTATGCTAAAGAGGGCATAGGATCCTCTAGGGAAAAATTAGATGCAGAAAATTTTCAGCCTAGAGAAGTGCTAGCGCTTCCATTAACCTCATCCTGTTTAAACTTGCATTTTGTCATACTTCTCACAATTTTCTTATCGTTGTTGTTGTTGGAAAAAAAAATTATTTGGGTTTCCTGTATTCGTTGTTGTTGGAAAAATGATCCTGGGATTAAGATCCTTTATAATTTCCCCCTTTCCCTCCTCTTCCTTCGGCAAACAGAGCTTTGATAATTAAAAGCGGGAAAACGTTTGCCATCTGAATCCAGCATCTCTAGACTCACACAGTTGAAAGGGTTTAACCATGAAGGCATCAGGCATCCAAGGGTAATATTGTACTTGCATTAGAACCCTTTGATCTGCGTTTTACCTTTTTCTTAAAAATAAAATGCGAAACTTTTTTCTTATGACCTTATGCATCAACTTGCTAAACGAATGCTCTCCATCTATAATTTCTTAGCGTCTGATCTAGTTTGTATAATCTTGGAGACCACAACGAAATCAAATTCCGAGCTACCATTTCAAAACAGAACTTTAGCTTCTGTTAATTTCCAAGTCTTAAATTCAGCTATGCCTTTTCTGATTGCTCCCTTTGGAGGTTATTAATGCATAAGCCTTGGTTGATTGTTGAAACAGATGTTCTACAAGCAGGCGAAGAAAACCAATCAATGTTGTAGCATACTGTAGGCTTTCAAGGAAAGCAGCCTAACGCAATGGCCACTCATTTCGTTTGTCTTAGTGTTGAAGCGGGTGGACGTGTTGAGATTGTGATTGTAATATGTCCATATCATTTATCAATTGTTTGTGTGGCAGAGTTGTGGAATTTCCCCTTTCTGGATGATTCTCTCCCGGATCGAAAAGAAAGGAAACCAGATATCGACGGACAAATTTCTTATTATAGCTTTATACACTTCGTGTTAACAAGCAATATCATAGTTCTTATGCATGGGTGTTGTATTCAATTCTCCTAAAAAGTAACATATAATTAGTTCTATCTTTTTCCGCCCTGTGACAGTCCATTTTTGCATGCAAACCTATTTATTTTAGGCTCTGTTTGTTTGGTGGAAAACAACTTTCATAAGAAAATCAATTCCTGAGGAAGCTATTTTTCAGGAAATTATTTTCTATAAAAATATTTTTTGACGTTTGAAATTTATATGAAAATACTGTTGGAAAACATTTTTCAGTGTTTGGTTGGTACAGAAAACTAAAATATAAAAATAGATTGTGATTGTTATATCAATGAGTTTTGAAGAAATTTTAACAAGGTGTATTGATAATCTTACAATATAAAAATTATTAAAAAATCTCGTATCCATATATATACACAATTTTATGATTACAAACCCATCATGTATATTTTCAAGTTTTAGTTTTAACATGAGAAGAGAAATAAAGTTAATCTTGTTGAATTTTTTATATTAAAATTCATAAATTTAAACTAATAAATAATAATGTAATATTTTGTAAGTGAAATAACACTACTTATAATTTTTAATTTTTTTTTTTTGATAAGACGAATTTTAATATAACTATAAAGGATAAAAATTTGATTTGAAATTTTTTAATTTGACAACCGAAACATAAAAAATATAATCTAATTATTTATAAAAAAAAATCATACAATAAAATTATAATGAAAAACTTGATTGTATAAATAAAATAAATAATTCTTTCCATTCTATCAATTTGACCCATTATTACTCACAATCCAAAAGTCGAATCCCATCCATGCATCACAACAACTTGTACACCGGAAAACATTCATAATTAAAATATTTCATATCAATAATAATAGCTACAAAGGTAGTCGTAAAGATCCAACATCCAAAAAACATAAAAAAACCGTCTATAAAATCCATACTCTTACAAATTCAATTACATAATAGGAAAGTCACACATAACATCATGTAGATGATCCACCATGTTCATTGATAAACTTTTCAATCCAAAGCTTTTTATGTTTTTCATTTCTTGTCATAAAAGCCTTTGCCAACCTTTCATTTTGTACCAAGTAATCAAACACATTATTCAATATGTCATCGTCAAAATCGGTAATCTTCATCACCACATCATAAATCTCATCTACATCAACTTCATTTTTTGTTAAAGCGTGAATTGTTTTGGCCACTTCTCTCACTTCTATAGATAAAACAGATGTAATTGATTCTTCGGTTTCATGACCTCTTTTTCGGTGACTTCTCTTTCCGGAAAGCATACTAGTTGATGATGCTTCTTTTCCTTTGCCTATGTCAACTTCATCCGGTGCTCGTAGATTCCATTTCAAAACTCTCGGCCAAGTTAATATCAATAAAAGACTTAGCAAAACTTCCTGTAGCCATATCTTGTCCAACGAACAAGTGTTATCTCATTGTACATCTCAATTTTCTTGTTCAAGTATTTCTCATGGTTAAGATGTGCTCGTATGTTCAAAGAAATTAGAAAACATCTTATAAATATAGAAAAATAATTTGAGACATTGAAAAAAAAAATTACCGTTATCTCTTCATCATAAACTTGTTTTGAGACAATTATCATTTTCAACTCATCATTCCATCCAAAACCACTTTTCTCGTTGCAATTGGCTATTAATCTTCCATTCTTTTTTTATTGTCCTCAAATGATTTCTAACATGATCAAGAGAACAATCTAATCCAAATTTCAAATTGATTTCTCTTGCTACACGTGAAAAGCTGTCTTGTTTGAAAGTGGAAGAAGGTTTATTCCCTTTCGTAGCCTCCTCGACTAAAATCTCAAGCAACATATGAGACATAGGTTTTGTCCACCTAAATTGTTTGGCTTTAACTTTTTCTTGCTTTGTGTTACTCATTTCTACAAGCATTGCCAATAAACGAAATTTCAAAAAATAAAAACAAGTGAAATTGTCAAATAACATCATCACTCATTCAATAAACACCAAATGATAAAAAAAAAAAAAAAAGAAATTGCTAAAATTACAACATGTATACGACAGGATGATAACTCAAAATATTTAGAAATTATAATTTAAAAACTAAATTGTTAGGGGTGGCATCATTTTAGGGAGAACAGAGCTTTCCCTTGGAATTTTAAGACCCAACGGAATTCGTAATGAAGATTGAACCCCCACAAAAAGAAAAAGATAACAATAATAATAATCATACACAACATTCACGCCAAAAGAAAAAAACAAGAAAAGGAAACTTCGATGAAATTTCTAAAGCCAAATAGAAAAAATTGCCTATGGTACTCCGCAGACGATGACCAAGGCAAGTAGGGTAAGTCCGACAAGAAGAGGTCAACCATTTCAAGGAAGAACAAACGACCAATGACTATATGTTGGTTGACTCGTATTTACTCGGTAAATCAAAAGTTTCCTCTCCCCTATTTTTACCAATTCTATACTCTATACTCATAATTTATTCGGCTTTTTTGACGAGTACTTGACCCACATCTTCAAAGCAATCCCGCCCACTTCTCCTCTATTATAGAATCGAGAACCCAAAATCACCGTGTTGACGCAAGAGTTAGTGACATATTGAAGACCGATGACTTCCATTGTCCGAAAATAGCAGACGACCGATGACCCGACACAAATGCAACCCGGACCCCTACTCAATACACCCAAATGCATGCGGGGACTTCTAAAAGGAAAGAACATGCCAAATAGCAATAACCTCAAACAAAAATGGCATGATCGATGGCCAACTTAGCCCATTCGGCGATTCCTTAATCATATGGTTATTAGAAGACAAACATTCATTGCTAAAAAGAGATTGAAGCATCAAAGAACCATCATTACTTCCCAATGTTGTCTTGACAATTGATACTTTGTGATGTTCATATAACACAAGGAGATCAACTGCGGAAAGGAGTGATAGTGTCATGGGTGACTCGCTGATGAACCGAGTTCAAATACGGTGATTTACTAGAGTGAAAATAGCAAACAAAAAAAGAAGGTAGAAGGCAAAGTTTATTCTACAATTACACCTTTGGCTACATCACTCGCATCATTAAAAACTTAAAAGTGAATATTTAAATTTTCTAGATCCCATGAATACAAAACGGACCCAAATGCTTAAGCCCTCTAGGATATAATAATTTCAATGTTTTCGTATAAAATAAAATAGCAGACAACAAATCCGATTCCTTGGGTGGCGGAGAAGGAAAACGTAGCGACGAGTTTACAAGAAGGAAAACACAAGAAAGCGACGAGACTCTCAAAAAGGAAGAGAAATCACAACGAGATCTAATCGTTCTTTTGCGAGGCTTTGGATTCTCGAAGGTGGTTTTTGCTTTGTTGCGGTGGCATTGGGTGGCAGAGATGTCCTTGGGTCGGCTTCGAGCAGACAACCTTTGCGATGAGTTTGGGTGTGAAGGGGATGGACAGCAGCGAGCTCCAAAGAGAAAATGTTTTTCTGTTTTCAATTTGGGAAGTCATTTTTCCTAAACTTGACTTTTAATTTTCTTTGATTGGAAAACAAACTTCTTTGACTTTTTTCCATGATGGCCAAACAAATACGAGAACACAGAGAAAACAGAAACTTGTTTTTCTTGAAACAAACGCAGCCTTAGTGAATTTTACGACTTTAGAGATGCTGCATGCAACTTGCGGGATACAAGTTAGCAATCAATAACGTTAAACGTTGTTCATTGCTTTTTGCATGCTTTATAGATTTTGCCTTTCGGAGGCTCTACTTATGTTCTACAGCTAGTATAAATCTAGGAATTAATGCCTAATATTGCGTAATAATCAAAGTTGTGAGACAGGAAATTCTCAATTGAGTTTCAACAACATTTTAGAGACTTTGGGAGCTTACGTTGATTTGTTCAAATCCAGGTCAATCTTGGTTAATGAATTGCTGGAGAAAACCAGGAACGTTTACAGTACTGTTTACTTATTGCACAATAAAACAGCAGTTCAGTGCAAATAATTCAACGTCAATATCAAGCAAATTAAAGTGAAAAGAGGCCACAATTGTTATCCAAAGCACTAAAAGTATCCGCCACGGACATCCTGAGATATGAATATGACTTCGGTATCAATTGCTTGCGGGCCCTGACATTATAACATGCTCGTCTGAGAAAAACGTACAGGTGCCCTGAAAACATAGCATGCTCATGCTCTCGGGGGAGGGTGGGGTGAATGGGCAGGATTGCAACTTGCAATTTGCAAGATAAGCAAATCATCCATTTGAGTATGTTCCAACATGTACATCCAAATGACACTTACCCATTACCAAAAGATAAGGCCAAAGATGGCCCACAGATGCTCTTCCTTGGATTCTATACAAAAATCTTCCCTAGGATTCTATATAAAAAGCGAAAATACTTGATTACACTATGGTCACATCATTTTTTAAAATAAAAAATTTTTAGAGATAAATTTAAAAAATAAAAAATTAAATGACATAAACATCAACTGAAATAAAGTACCCAACTTTACTAATCTAATTCAAAAACCTTTTAACTGCACACAGAACAAGACGAAACTTTAAAAGTAGAAGTTTTACACCTCATATATACTTTAGGCACCCACAGTTTACGGCCATAAAACCTTTTTTTACAGAAATGAAAGAACAAACGGGGACTGTACACATAATAGTACTGTTCGTTGGAATGCAAGTGCTTCAACCTCCATTTGAAATTCTTCTCCCTATTTTCTACTTTCCAAAAATGGATTTGATCCACCAAATGCCTTTGGTATCCTGCGGCCCGTCTTCTTCTGGTGGAGGGTCACTCTGTGGAGTCTTGTGAAGCTTGGTCACATCGTATCCCTCTTCTCTGGCCTTCTCCACCAGTCGATTGTAGATTTCATCGTCCATATGAGTATTCCTGCACAATATCTGAAAAAAAAAAAAAAAAAAGCTAAGTACACTGCATACGCTATCCTGTCTGTGGATTGAAAGAACACAAAACCCTAAAAGTTTCAAACTTTAGAGGGGAAACTAAACAGTAAACAATAATTTTGTTGCTTCCTCAAAATTTTAGCTATCAACCCATTTTTCGCCTATAAAAAATTACAATTTTCTCATCATTTTACAGTTTTCACTTCAATTATCAATTACACACATACAAATCACAAGCATAGAGTTGGCACAGGTCACAAATCAATAACCTAATTCAAGAAATCAGACCCAAAAAGCAAGTGCATAAGCAAGACAAATAAAGAATACACAAAAAAGATTGGAAGGCATTCACACATACCCAGAGATATTTCCTGCTAGGCTGGCCAACCAAAGCATACTGATAATCCTCATCAAGATACAAAACCCAGTAATCTCCAACAATAGGAATGATAGGCAAGAATGGTGGGACATAAAATTTGACCTTGAGTTTAGCCTCATCACTGTTAGGATCAGCCTTATATGCAGTGCCCTCTATAAATACTCTCTTGCCATCACTCCATGTCTCGTTAAGCACATGGACAGTACCATCCTCTTTCAAAGCGTACGTAGCCCTCGTGTTCACTCCATTCTTGGGTTGGAACATTGATGGAAATGAAGCTATTTCATACCATCTTCCCATATACCTCTTCAAGTCTATTCCTTTCACCACTTCCATTGCTTTCTTGCTAGCCATTGTTTCACTGTTGGTATCTTTAGTTTTGACGGAGAGGGTTTTATTGGCTCGCTGTTTTTAGCTTTATGGGTTCTATTTGCTCGAATCTTGAATGATTCTTTATAGGCAGTTTTTTCTTGATAAGGTAAATAGGAAGGGTCCTGTTGATTGAGATATTTGGGGTGAAGACGTGGAGGGTTAATGGCCTTACATCTGGTCGCGGGGAGTGGTAGAATGTGCTGGATGATCATGGGAGTTTCTAGGACCATTTTGATTTGGGAACATATTGAGAATGTGACTTGGAAGAATGGCAAACTTGGTAATGAAGGAAAGGAACTTGGTGAGGAAGAAATAATTCTTCGACTAATATTTGTGTCAATCTCATGGTTTTGTCCATTTATAAATTCATATATCCTTTTTATTGTTGTTTTAATCGAAATCATTCAATTTTTTTTTATATTGACTGACTTTTTTTACTTATCATTTTGTTTCGTTATAGTTTTTCGTTATAATACGGTTTGTTAATGAGTTGAGGTAGTATATTACTTTTTTTTATATATATATAAGGACAATATAATTAGAAAAACTCACAGTAAAAAGACAATTTAAAAAATATAAGGACAACATAATGGGAAAAATTCATTGTAAAATTTAGATTAAGACGAGATAATAATCTAATTAGGTGAAATTTAGGTTTGAATGTGATACGATTTCAGTATGTAATTCCATTTTTCTCAAACCTAAGGAAATGAATTTTTTTGATATCAAAGTAATTAGTTTGGATGACTAATGTATTTGAGGCTACTTAACTAGCTTAATTGATGTGTTTTCCTTGATTTTTGTTGCTAATTAACAACAGATCATTTTCAGACGGAATTTTGCAAAGAACAATTAGGTTTAAATGCGATGTATTTTTTCTTCTTTTCGTTGGACAGGAGTGCAAAATGGCCATTTCTTACTATCACAATTAAAAGTCCCTTAAAATGGATTATTTTTTCTTCTCAGAAAAAAGAAGGGACCATTTCTTACCAATAATTGAAGGAAATGTGTGTTTCACATTTTTCCCAAAGGCAAAATGCAATTATTAGACGCAACGTTTGATTGGATTGTGACAATGATATTGCAGAGGAGCAATTTCAACTCCTTAAAAAGCTGGCATGAATTATCGACATTACCATAGCACGTACGAGTCTAAATTGCCTTGTCATGGGGCCTCCGTGTGTGGCCCAATAGCGGGACCATAGGATGTGAAGGTTAATTTTAGATGATCTTAATTCAAACCCGATTCAGCCCAAACCATCAATATATTTAAATACAACTACACTCATACGATAAGAAAAAAGTATATTTAATTCAAATCCGGTTAGGTCCAACACGTCATTGATGTTTCAACATATTTTTATATAATAAGATAATTTAAGTTTATTTTATATTTTTATTGAATTGATTTTATTTTTAAATATTTATTAAGTTTTTAATTTGTCATTTCAGCAAGATTTTCAAACTCTCGGGTTAGCATGAAGTCTGCTAGATAGATATCATCGAATAGCGCATTTTGATGAGGGATAGGAACAAGAAGCTTCGAGAAAACTAGTATTTTCTGAATTATATGAAGTCGGTAAGCAAATAGCAAATTCGTAGGTATTTGAACTCAAATGTTCGAGATAAAATAGAATTGCTGATGTAAGAACGAGAGATCTTTTAGAGTAACATGTTATAATAAGAAAGTATTATATCTTGAAATTAATTCACCAAAGTTCCTGATAAAATACCTAGATGTTCCAGTGGGCATTATGCAAATCATTAGAATTAATTATTTGATTTATGCATTACTATGTTTTATTCTTAAAAACTTTTCTTATAAATTAGACAGATAGCATATATTTATGTGCAAGCTACGTAATTAATTCTAATATTTTGGTTTAAAAATAAAAAAAATAACAATACATAAAATTGACTCAATTAAAAATATATAAATAAATTTAAAAATTATTTTATTATATAAAAATGAACTAACGTAGACTTTGCATGCAATCATGGCATCATAATTGAAAAACATATATTCAATAATCAATTGTTATTGCTAACTAATCCACACACTGAAATGAAATATACTTATTTTGACAAGGCAAATTACTTCTGGGTTGCATTAGTTTTCTTTTGAATGTCATTTGTCACAATGATATATAATTTCTTAGGGACACTGCCCTCTTTTTAATAAAAAAGGAAAATCAATTATTGAGTAGTCTGTCTCATCTTATCCACACAACAAGTGGTTTGGCGATTGATGTAAAACTTATTCAAAATAAAATAAAACAATTTCATTATTGAAGGAACCAAATGGAACCATCTGGACCAGAATCTGAACTTTCACTTGAGCAAGTAATTAGTTTAGGAGCTGTTTCTTTCCTTCTTTGGATCTTTTAGTTGCTTTAATGCAGAATTCACCAAAAAATGGTTAATTAGTATAATGTTTAAGAATAATGACATTCGTAAAACCTGAAATTTTCGAAGAAGCAAAGGGTTCTGGGATTTAGAAGCGGGGTATAAGGTTAAAACTATGACAGTATTTCCCTTACCTATGGTAGAGCAAATGGCTCTGGTCAGCCTTGTCCTATGCTCATGTCATGCTTGTGGCAATAGAAAAGCAATTTCTCACGCCAAGACTCCGACCCTGACAGCCCTGTTTTTGCAGTGACCCCATCTGCTTTGAACTGGCATGAAACAGTATTTGCTCTTCGGCACATAGTCAGTACCGGCTTAAGGCCTATACCTAGGGCCCATAGAAAGGGAGTCTAATTAAAATTTTACTTTAAGCATATACCGATAAAGAATGAAATAAATTAAAGGTATAGTGTTCACTCAAATATGAGACGTTATTTTTATCTCAATTAACAGGTCATAGGTACTAGAATTCTTATATTGAAAAACTCCCATTATTAAGAGATATTATTATTTTAACGTTAAAAATTCTATTTTTTCTAGAAGTCTTTCAGAAAAACTTCTACTTATAAAAACTTTCAATTTTTATTTTAGTAATACACTTTTACTTATTAAAAAGTTTTAGAAAAATATTTATGAGTGAAACAATTTTTAGATCTCTAAATTTTGTTATTATATTCCTTTCTTTCTCCAAACAATCGGAGATCTCTTATAAAATATTTTTTAATTAGCTTGACGAGAAGAATTTGAAAGTAATTTTTTAATTTATGCAAATAAAATTATGAACATAAATCATATAATATTTTTTTTCTCAAATTTCTTTTTATTTTTTCAGGTGATTCTCTCCAGACTTACTTGATTAGGTGTGGCAAGCAAATATAATCGAGTGCCAAAGTTTCTTACTCTTTTTATAATTATATTTTAATTTTATTATTTGAATAAAATGTCGACTAGAATGTATGAACCTGGATATGAAAAACGTAAGAAAAAAAGAAAGGTAGAAAAACTAATTCAATCAAAAAAAGGTGCACTTGATAGATTTGTTACTAATATTAAACCCCAAATACTAGAAGAACAAGATAAAGATTTAAATAAAAATATAGTTGAAAATTGTGAAGAAAAATTTGAAGATAACAATTTAAATTCACCAAAAAGTAATGAAGAATATGATGAAAATTTAGAAGATGATGTTTCAATCAATAAAAGTGAAAATATTAATGATGAAGATGCAACAACAATTAAAATATTTATGGTCCGACACAATAGAAAAATTTAGACTCAAAATTGATTGATTTGTTAGTTGAGAAAGGTCCAATTAGAGAAATTTTAGATTTTCCAAGAGATAAAAATTCTAGATATTTTTCTATAGTTCATTACATTCGAAAATTACCAAACGGAGAAAAACATGATAGAAAATGACTATTATTTTCGAAAGAGTTAGATAAAGTGTTTTGTTATTATTGTAAATTATTTAGTTTGAAATCAAATATTCAATTAGCAAATGAAGGGTTTGGAGATTGAAAAAATCTTAATGTCAAACTTAATAGTCATGAGACAAGTAATGAACATGCTATTAATATGAACATTTGGGTTGATGCTCAAATGAGATTGCTTAAAAACAAAATAATTGATAAGCATTTAGAACATGAAATAAATAAAGAGAAAGAGCATTGGAGGAATGTATTATTAAGAATTATTTTTGTTGTAAAAGATCTTTCAAAAAATAATTTGGCATTTCATGGTACAAATGAGAAGATTTATCGGGACAACAATGGAATTTTTTTGAGTTTAATTGAAATGATTGTCGAGTTTGATCCAATAATGCAAGAACACCTTAGACATATTCAAAATGGAGATATCCATATGCATTATCTTGGTCATAATATACAAAATGAGTTGATAAATATTTTAGCATTAGAAATAAGAAATACTATTATCGGAAAAATCAAAGAATCAAAATATTTTTCAGTTATACTTGATTGTACTTCGGATGCAAGTCATCAAGAACATATGTCTTTTATATCAAGATATGTAGATATTTCGACAATTCCAATCAAAATAGAAGAGTATTTTATAGATTTTTTAAAAGTGGATGATACCTCCGGTGAATGTCTTTTTAATGAACTTACAAGTAAAATAAAAACTCTTGAACTTGACGTAAATGATATGAGAGGGCAAAAATATGATAATGGATCTAATATGAAAGGTAAACATCAAGGTGTACAAAAAACATTATTAGATATAAATTCTAGAGCATTTTATACATCATGTGGCTATCACAATCTTAATTTAGTTATTTGTGATATGGCTAATTCATGTGCTAGTGCTATGATATTTTTTGGAGTGACAACAATGCATATACTCTTTATTTTCTTCTTCTACAAAAAGATGAAAAATTTCGCAAGATCATGTTTCTAATTTGACACTAAAGCCATTATCACAAACACATTAGGAAAGTCGTATTGAAAGTGTCAAAGCAATTAGATTTCAAGCTCAATAAATAAAAGATGCTTTATATCAATTAATAGAAACTAGTGAGGATCCTAAAACAAAAAGTGAAGCTATTTCTTTAGCAACATATGAGATTGAAAATTTTGAATTTCTATTAGGCATGATTATTTGGTATGATATGTTGTTTGTCGTTAATACGGTTAGTAAATATTTATAATTTAAAGATATGGATATTGCTCTTGCAATAGACTACTTGAAAGGTCTTATTTTTTTTAAAAAAGCTATAGAGAAAATGAGTTTACATCTTCTACGATCTTGGCTAAGGAAATTATAGAGCAAATGAATATAGAACTTAAATTTCGTGAAAAGCATACAATAAGAAGAAAGAAACAATTTGATGAGATTGAAAATGAAGATATGAAATTATCTATTGAAGAATCTTTTAGAATTAATTATTTTACCTATTTAGTTGATCATGCGATTTCCTCTCTTCAAAATAGGTTTGAACAATTTAAAATATATGAAGATAATTTTGGTTTTTTTTTTTTTATAGTGGAAAAATTAAAATCACTTGATGATGATATTTTGAAAAAAAATTGTTTAAATCTTGAAAACTTTCTAAAGCACGATATACTTTCCGATATTGATGGTCTAAATTTATTTTCAGAATTAAAAGTTTTAAAAGAAATTATAACTATGAAAATGAAAACATCACTTGCCATACTAAATTTTATAAAAAAGGTAAATTCTTTTCCAAATGCATGGATAGCATATAGAATACTATTAACTATCTCTATTACTCGTAGCTTCGATTGAAATTTTTTTTTCAAAATTAAAATTAATAAAATCTTATTTACGTTCAGCCATGTCATAAGAAATATTAAATAATTTTACTATATTATCAATTGAAAAAAATTTACTATGTAAACTTGAATATAAAAATTCAATTAGAGATTTTATATACATTTCAAAAAACAAATAAATTTTTTTTTAAATAATATTTAATATTTATTTATTTTATGAAAGAATATTTAAAATATCATTTTATCTGGTGCGACATGTATTCTAAAGCCGGCCTGCTCGTAGTTTGGTAGGAGACATTTCAAAAAGCATGACTTAATTATTATTACTATTATCAGTACATTTATTTCCCAATGATGACCGTAAGAAAGGTTGTACATTTCAAGAAGCATTACTTAGTTATTATTACTATTATTAGCACAATGATGGAAAGAACGATTGTTCGCGCCTTGCACATATATATCCTTCAACTTCAATGGGACAAGTTCTAGTGCTTACAGTGGCATTGTGAAGGTCAATCCAGAATCGTGTAGCTTTTCCTTGATTTTATGATCTAAAGCTGCAGCCATCTCCGTTGTAAGATAATTCTTCCAATCACCAACCTCTCCCTTCCTGAAGAAGTCAGAGTTCTTGAAAAGAGACTGGGCAGCACTACCTTTGTTGATCTCCAAATTGCTTAAGATGTGGGCAGCCTTCTCCATGAAACAAGAAAACACAATGAACTCAAGATGTGGGCACCTGTACCTGAGCCACATTACAAGTTACCTTCATTCATAAACATCTCGAATGAAAATGGGAAATAGAGATTAATAAACATAGGTAATGATCATATTGATCAAGTAGGTATTACTGTTATACTTGCCAAGCCAAATAGAAGCAACAAGATTGTCGTTATCTGTCATGTGAAACTTTTCGATTTTAAAAAAGTAGAAAGATAAGAGTTTTCAAGACTAAAAAACTTAAAAAATGACACTACTTTTAGAGAAATGAATAAAAAATTAATTATGTTTGAGAAAATATAACAATCATAAAAAAAAAAATCACTTTCTAATAAAATTATTTTACTTGTTTCTATTTTTAAATTCAGTTTCCATAAATAATTATTTGTCAAGTTATTTTCTAAATGGATTTACAAATTTATGTTCAAGTCAAATCATTTGTGAATTTAAAATTAATTTGGAGTATTAATCTTAAAAATTGATTTATTCAAGCTATTAGACCCTGAAACTGACAAGATTTGCAAAATAGGCCTACAGGCCTGCTTTTGTTTTTCTGCCAAGTCTTGAAATTGGGTTTTTAGGGTTATAGTGTCATCTAACCCAATAAAAGACTTTTTTTGACAATTTTTTTTTTATAAAGAAAAAATAAAACTAATTATGAAAATCCCAATAAATTTTTTTCTCTCTTTCTCATGCATTTTTCTCATGCATAATTTTCATACAAAGAATATTATGATAAACTGAGATTTATTAAATGCAAAACATAAAAAAGTGATTCTTTGACAAAAATAAAAATCACTATAAAAAATCATATGCTTAATAAACTAAGAAAAAAAAATCAAAATAAAAATAGAGAGAAAAAAAAAACAAAGCAAATACTATTCCAAAAACCCATCTCTAAAACTCCTTTAATCAACCAAGAAAAACACCCATACTTACCTTGTGATGCAGGAACACTGAGTAGTGATTGCCACTGACAATCTTGATAAAAAAAATGTTTTTGTTCTTGACAAGAAAACAAAAAAAGAGAAGATGAGAGAAGAGGGGGAGAGAGAGACATCGTCCGTGAGAGAGTAAAATGAGAATTTTATTTAAACGAAAGAGATCAGGTGGGAAGATGTGGCAGGTAATGATTGGTTGTGAAAATTACATTTCTATCAATATAAATACATCTTTTGACGAATTGAGAGCTAGTATTTTACTGTTAAAAACGAAAGGTAGGCTAAACTGAGCTACAGTCAATCCACAGTAATCTGTGTCAGTAGTCTAAACAGTATTTTTAGGTTTTGCTTTATTTATTTATTTATTTTATTTGGATCCTAACTTTATGCCTGTCATGTTTACACATTTCCAGCAATACTTACATACATAAACACTTCATGCATGGAGTCAAACAATTCAAATTAAGATTAAGCGAGAGACAAATTTTTTGTTTTGCCGGCAATATAAGTTTTTAGGTCTGATTCCTCCAATAATGTGTAGAATTGTAAGACTAATTTGCAAGATATGACAGTAGAGAGTTCTATTTGGTCAAGTTAATAATGCAGCCATGAAAGTCAAGCAAGATAGTCTGAATTATGAAATGCCAACCGTGTAAGAACTGCTGTCAAATGGGCGAGGCTTAATGGCCTGAACTTGAAGAGGATCCTCTGGTACCATGGAACGTGGCGAACCTCCACTCTCCTCAAAGGAAAACGTAATAATGGTAATTATGGCAAGAAATAATAGTAATAAAAAAGTATATTATATATTAGCACTTACACTTTTTGCGTAATAATGGCATGCTTTGCAGCTAGCTGACAACAAGTATTGTACAATTCTACAGCTCAAGCCAAAAAGATTCACGCTCAATAATGAACAATAAATTGAAATCTCTTAGCCTTTGCCTTCGGCAAGACTCCAAAACATCAAAGGTTAGTCACAAGCAAAGATGCTGTCCACAAATAATAAGGGCTAGCTCCTAGCATCCAGAATCATCCAGGACTAGCCCATCTCTTCCTTAGAGAGAATGGCTCCTTGTGTATCCCTTCTGCTTCTGGTCTTTGCCATTCTTGCAACACTGCCAGCAACCAAATCAGCACCCGCTTTTTTTCCAGGAGCAAGTTATGATCAATCTTTAACCAAACAAACGAAGGCCTCAAAACCAAAGATCCCACACAAGATTCAGTACTTTCCTCAAGTCCTAGACCACTTCACATTTCAGCCCAAAAGCTCAAAAATTTTCTACCAAAAGTACCTTATCAAAAGCCATAACTGGCATAGAGGAGCTCCTATCTTTGTCTACACTGGCAATGAAGGTGACATTGAGTGGTTTGCTGCCAACACTGGCTTCTTGCTTGACATTGCTCCCAAGTTCAGAGCTCTCTTGGTGTTCATTGAAGTAATTAATGTTTCGAAAGGCACTTAAAACTCCACAACATCACTTTTTGGCCATTGATAAAAAACCAATCTTTATGTAGTTGTGAACTTGGCTGACATGGAGCATTAACATTTATAATGGGTTTGTTTTTGTGTGATTTTTCAGCATAGATTCTATGGGGAGTCGATGCCATTTGGAAAGGAATCATACAAGTCCGCAGAGACATTGGGGTACTTGAATTCACAACAAGCACTGGCCGATTTTGCTGTTTTGATAAGGAGTTTGAAGCATAATCTTTTAGTTTCTTTAATGCAGAATTCACCAAAAATTGATTAATTAGTATAATGTTTAAGAATAATGACATTCGTAAAACCTGAAATTTTCGAAGAAACAAAGGGTTCACGGATGTAGAAGGGTGGCATAAGGTTAAAACTATGATGGTACATCGCTTACTGATGGTAGAGCAAATGGCTCTGGTTGTCCCATGCTCATGTCATGCTTGTGGCAAAAGGAAAGCAATCTCTCACGCCAAGACTCCGACCCTGTCAGCCCTGTTTCTGCAGTGACCCCATCTGCTTTTAACTGGCATGAAACAGTCTTTAATTGCTCTTTGGCTCATAGTTTGGTACGAGACATTTCAAAAAGCATTACTTAATTATTATTACTATTATTAGCACAATGATAGAAAGAAAGATTGTCCACGCCTTGCACATATCCTGCAACTTCAACAGGACAAGTTCTAGTGCTTACAGTGGCATTGTAAAGGTCAATCCAGAATCATGTAGCTTTTCCTTGATTTTATGATCTAAAGCTGCAGCCATCTCTGTTGTAAGATACTTCTCCCAATCACCTGCCTCACCCTTCCTGAAGAAGTCAGAGTTCTTGAAACGAGATCGGGTAGCAGTACTACTACTTTTGTTGATCTCCAAATTGCTTAAATTCTCGAAACTGCATAGCTTGATTATTTCTTGCACCATTCCATCATTTTCTTCATCCTGTGTGAAGGGTTGGCCTAAAAATTCAGCTAACCTCTTAAAGTGAACAAAGGGGTCCCTCTTCAAATCCTCATATTTAAGAAACAGCATTTTCTCTGGTAATTCTAAGCTTGCTCTCCAATAGCCTATCACATGGTCCCAAAAAGGTCCAAAGGGTGAAACTCCTTCACAAAATTGCTCAAATGCATCTTCTAGAGGTCGTGGTTTTGTCAATAATTTGTTTACAAAGTGCCACGTTGAAATAACAACATCTTTTGGATCGCGACAAACATAGACAAAACGGCAGCCAGAGTTATTGATCATGGAGTTAGGCAACAAAGTGTAAGGGCAGTGAGTAGCTAAGAGGCGGGGCGAGGGAAGAGCTCCAAGACCAGAAATGGATTCGTGTTTGGCCAAGTATCCTTCCAAAAAGGTAACAAGGTCATGTGGATTAGCTGTGAGCAAAGGGTGGGTGGGAAAGTCATAGTCAGCTCTATTTATGATGGTGAAAATGAGAGCTTTAAGCCATGTGGTGCCGCACTTTGGAAGGGAAGCCAGTACAATATCAGTTGGTCGAGCCTTAAAGTGGTCTTGCATGAAAAGGATTCCTTTTAGAGCTGGCTCAGATCCGAGCCAAAAGCCTTGGTATTGCAAGAGAGCAAGTTGCATCATGTCACCTCGTTCCCGTTTCGGAAGACTTGAGATTAAGGCTTGGTGCTTCTGTTTGGTTTTTTCTTTGCCTTGCTCATTTTCTTCTTTCACTAATTCCTTATTGTCGGTCTCGCAGATGCGGCCTTCTTGACATGACAGAGACTTCTCCATGAAACAAGAAAACACAATGAACTCAAGATGTGGGCACCTGTACCTGAGCCACATTACAAGTTACCTTTGTTTATAAACATCTCGAATGAAAATGGGAAATAGAGATTAATAAACACAGGTAATGATCTTATTGATCAAGTAGGTATTACTGTCATGTGAAACTTTTCGATTTAAAAAAAAGTAGAAAGATAAAGAGTTTTCAAGACTAAAAAACTTAAAAAATGACACTAGTTTTAGAGAAATGAACAAAAAATTAATTATTTTTTAGAAAATATAACAATCATAAAAAAAAATCACTTTCTAATAAAATTATTTTACTTGTTTCTATTTTTAAATTCAGTTTCCATAAATAATTATTTGTCAAGTTATTTTCTAAATGGATTTACAAATTTATGTTCAAGTCAAATCATTTGTGAATTTAAAATTAATTTGGAGTATTAATCTTAAAAATTGATTTATTCAAGCTATTAGACCCTGAAACTGACAAGATTTGTAAAATAGGCCTACAGGCCTGCTTTTGTTTGTCTTGAAATTGGGTTTTTAGGGTTATAGTGCCATCTAACCCAATAAAAGACTTTTTTTGACAATTTTTTTTTTATAAAGAAAAAATAAAACTAATTATGAAAATCCTAACTTCCATGGATGGACAAATACATGAGAAAGAGAAAAAAAATTATTGAATTATTTATGGAATCTTATTAGATTCAGGTCCGGCATAAATTTCATACAAAGAATATTATGATAAACTGAGATTTATTAAATGCGAAACATAAAAAAGTGATTCTTTGACAAAAATAAAAATCACTATAAAAAATCATATGCTTAATAAACTAAGAAAAAAACATCAAAATAAAAATAGAGAAAAAAAAAAACAAAGACAAATACTATTCCAAAAACCCATCTCTAAAACTCCTTTAATCAACCAAGAAAAACACCATACATACCTTGTGGTGGAGGATCACTGAGTAGTGATTGTCACTGACAATCTTGATAAAAAAAAATGTTTTGTTCTTGACAAGAAAACAAAAAAAAAAAAGAGAAGATGAGAGAAGACGGAAGAGAGAGATATCGTACGTGAGAGAGTAAAATGAGAGTTTTATTTAAACGAAAGAGATCAGGTGGGAGATGTAGCAGGTAATGATTGGTTGTGAAAATTACATTTCTATCAATATAAATACATCTTTTGACGAATTGAGAGCTAGTATTTTACTGTTAAAAACGAAAGGTTAAGATGAGCGACAAAGAGGATAAAATAGAAAGACAAGGGGAAAAAAAAAAAAAGAGCCGGAGTACTCTGAACTGAGCTACAGTCAATCTACAGTAATCTGTGTCAGTAGTCTAAACAGTATTTTTAGGTTTTGTTTTATTTGTCTATTTGGATCCTAACTTTGTGCATGCCATGTACACATTTCCAGCAATACTTACGTACATAAACACTGCATGCATGGAGTCAAACGATTCAAATTAAGATTAAGCGAGAGACAAATTTTTTGTTTTGCCGGCAATATAAGTTTTTAGGTCTGATTCCTCCAATAATGTGTAGAATTGTAAGACCAATTTGCAAGATAAGACAGTAGAGAGAGTTCCATTCGGTAAAGTTAATAATGTAGCCATGAAAGTGAAGCAACATAGTCTGAATTGTGAAATACCAACTGTATAAGAACTGCTGTCAAATGGGCAAGGCTTAATGGCCTAAACTTGAAGAGGATCCTGTGGTACCATGGAACGTGGCGAACCTCCACTCTCCTCAAAGGAAAACGTAATAATGGTAATTATGGCAAGAAATAGTTAGTAATAAAAAAGTATATTATATATTAGCACTGCCCTTTTTGCTGAATTGATGATAATTTTGACAATTTCTCTTGCCACCTGCTGTTATTCTCAGTTGGCATGCTTTGCAGCTAGCTGACAACAAGTATTGTACAATTCTACAGCTCAAGCCAAAAAGATTCACGCTCAATAATGAACAGTAAATTGAAATCTCTTACCCCTGTTTGGATAGGGATGAAAACAGGGGAGAAGAAAGAAAATGGGATGGAAATAAAAAATTTTTTCCGTTTGGATTGCAGAGGAAATCAGAGGAAAGAAAAAAAAATAATAAAAAATATAAAAATAGTGAGACCTATTTTCCTTCTAAAATTGGAAGGAAACGGAGAGAAAAAAAGAGGGATGATTTTTTTTTTCACAGTTTTGCCCTTGCCTTAGCCGTTCCCTTCTCTGCAAACACGAGCCGTAGACGATCGAGGATATTTAATATAGTACCCGAAGCCCCCAGAAATAAAGTGGACATGAGAATCAATAAATTCAGGAACCACAACTTTTGCTTCAACATTCACCTCTTTAGTTCCAATCCCTACCAAGTCCTGCATACACACACACACAAATAATAATAAAACAAAATAGTATTTTATATTTCTTAAGCTAAAAATTTTCACAACGATCTGTGCAGCAATTCAAAAACTCAAGAGAGAGAGAGGGTTATGGTGACCTGAAGAGACGAGTAATTGCCAATGCGAAGAATCCTATCGTTTTGAATAGCCATAGAATCGGCGAGGTGTAAAGAAGAATTGCCAGTGAAAATAACACCATTCTTGACTATTAAATCCACCACTAGTTTCTTCGTTGATAATCTTTTCAATCCCAAATTCGAACAATCTTTTCAATAGAACAGTTAAGTCAGTAAATGACTCTTTCTTATTCGTTTATTTGTGTAAAAAAAAAAAGATATAGAGACAGGAGAGTACCTTACGGTGGTATATTCAGAGAGTAAACAGCAATGGCGAGAACGAAAGTGGTGGAGAGAAATGTGTAGCGATTCATGCTACTTCATCTTCGTGATGTGTGTGGCTCGTAATGTAACACGATTCTCCATCTGTTCCTTATAATATATTTCAAAATGTCATTTTCATTTTTTATCTTTCTTGTCTCTTTATTGGAATCTGTGCTATATAAATTGGTTTTCTTCGCACCTTTTTTGTTTTTCAATTGTTATTTAAATATAAAAATATAATCATAAGAATATTATAATAAATATATAATATATATAAATATATTTTTTTATAATTATAAAACAAAGAAAAATATATTTTTTTCTTTTTTTTTCATTCTTATCCAAACAACAGGTGAATAATTTTTTTTCTCTTTTTTTCGTTTCTCTCGTTTTCTTTCCTCTCTTTTCTTTCTCCCAAGAGAAATTATCCGAACAAGAGGTTAGCCTTTGCCTTCGGCAAGACTCCAAAACATCAAAGGTTAGTCACAAGCAAAGATGCTGTCCACAAATAATAAGGGCTAGCTCCTAGTATCCAGAATCATCCAGGACTAGCCCATCTCTTCCTTAGAGAGAATGGCTCCTTGCGTATCCCTTCTGCTTCTGGTCTTTGCCATTCTTGCAACACTGCCAGCAATCAAATCAGCACCCGCTTTTTTTCCAAGAGCAAGTTATGATCAATCTTTAACCAAACAAACGAAGGCCTCAAAGCCAAAGATCCCATCCAAGATTCAGTACTTTCCTCAAGTCCTAGACCATTTCACATTTCAGCCCAAAAGCTCAAAAATTTTCTACCAAAAGTGCCTTATCAATAGCCATTACTGGCATATAGGAGCTCCTATCTTTGTCTACACTGGCAACGAAGGTGACATCGAGTGGTTTGCTGCCAACACTGGCTTCTTGCTTGACATTGCTCCCAAGTTCAGAGCTCTCTTGGTGTTCATTGAAGTAATTAATGTTTCGAAAGGCACTTAAAACTCCACAACATCACTTTTTAGCTATTGATAAAAAACCAATCTTTATATAGCTGTGAACTTGGCTGACATGGAGCATTAACAATTATAATGGGTTTGTTTTTGTGTGATTTTTCAGCATAGATTCTATGGGGAGTCGATGCCATTTGGAAAGGAATCATACAAGTCCGCAGAGACATTGGGGTACTTGAATTCACAACAAGCACTGGCCGATTTTGCTGTTTTGATAAGGAGTTTGAAGCATAATCTTTTAGTTTCTTTAATGCAGAATTCACCAAAAATTGATTAATTAGTATAATGTTTAAGAATAATGACATTCGTAAAACCTGAAATTTTCGAAGAAACAAAGGGTTCACGGATGTAGAAGGGTGGCATAAGGTTAAAACTATGATGGTACATCGCTTACTGATGGTAGAGCAAATGGCTCTGGTTGTCCCATGCTCATGTCATGCTTGTGGCAAAAGGAAAGCAATCTCTCACGCCAAGACTCCGACCCTGTCAGCCCTGTTTTTGCAGTGACCCCATCTGCTTTTAACTGGCATGAAACAGTCTTTAATTGCTCTTTGGCTCATAGTTTGGTACGAGACATTTCAAAAAGCATTACTTAATTATTATTTGCTATTATTAGTACATTTATTTCCCAATAATGACCGTAAGAAAGATTGTTCATTTCAAAAAGCATTACTTAATTATTATTACTATTATTAGCACAACGATAGAAAGAAAGATTGTCCACGCCTTGCACATATCCTTCAACTTCAACGGGACAAGTTCTAGTGCTTACAGTGGCATTGTAAAGGTCAATCCAGAATCATGTAGCTTTTCCTTGATTTTATGATCTAAAGCTGCAGCCATCTCTGTTGTAAGATACTTCTCCCAATCACCTGCCTCACCCTTCCTGAAGAAGTCAGAGTTCTTGAAACGAGATCGGGTAGCAGTACTACTACTTTTGTTGATCTCCAAATTGCTTAAATTCTCGAAACTGCATAGCTTGATTATTTCTTGCACCATTCCATCATTTTCTTCATCCTGTGTGAAGGGTTGGCCTAAAAATTCAGCTAACCTCTTAACGTGAACAAAGGGGTCCCTCTTCAAATCCTCATATTTAAGAAACAGCATTTTCTCTGGTAATTCTAAGCTTGCTCTCCAATAGCCTATCACATGGTCCCAAAAAGGTCCAAAGGGTGAAACTCCTTCACAAAATTGCTCAAATGCATCTTCTAGAGGTCGTGGTTTTGTCAATAATTTGTTTACAAAGTGCCACGTTGAAATAACAACATCTTTTGGATCGCGACAAACATAGACAAAACGGCAGCCAGAGTTATTGATCATGGAGTTAGGCAACAAAGTGTAAGGGCAGTGAGTAGCTAAGAGGCGGGGCGAGGGAAGAGCTCCAAGACCAGAAATGGATTCGTGTTTGGCCAAGTATCCTTCCAAAAAGGTAACAAGGTCATGTGGATTAGCTGTGAGCAAAGGGTGGGTGGGAAAGTCATAGTCAGCTCTATTTATGATGGTGAAAATGAGAGCTTTAAGCCATGTGGTGCCGCACTTTGGAAGGGAAGCCAGTACAATATCAGTTGGTCGAGCCTTAAAGTGGTCTTGCATGAAAAGGATTCCTTTTAGAGCTGGCTCAGATCCGAGCCAAAAGCCTTGGTATTGCAAGAGAGCAAGTTGCATCATGTCACCTCGTTCCCGTTTCGGAAGACTTGAGATTAAGGCTTGGTGCTTCTGTTTGGTTTTTTCTTTGCCTTGCTCATTTTCTTCTTTCACTAATTCCTTATTGTCGGTCTCGGAGATGCGGCCTTCTTTACATGACAGAGACTTCTCCATGAAACAAGAAAACACAATGAACTCAAGATGTGGGCACCTGTACCTGAGCCACATTACAAGTTACCTTTGTTTATAAACATCTTGAATGAAAATGGGAAATCGAGATTAATAAACACAGGTAATGATCTTATTGATCAAGTATGTATTCCTGTTATGCTTGCCCAACCCAACAAAAGAAACAAGGTTGTCCTTATCTGTTATGTGAAACTTTTCGATTTTTTTTTTTTTAAAGAAATATTAGAGAGTTTTCACTTAATACTGAAGACTAAAAAACTAAAAAATGACCTTAGTTTTAGAGAAATGAATAAAAAATTAATTTTGTTCGAGAAAATAACAATCATATAAAAAAAATCGTTTTTCTAACAAAATTATTTTACTTGTTTCTATTTTTAAATTCAGTTTTTATCAATAATTATTTGTCAAATTATTTTCTAAGTCCATTTATAAATTTATTTTCAAGTCAAATTACTTGTGAATTTAAAATTAATTTGGAGTATTAACCTTAAAAATTGATTTATTCAATCTATTAGAACCTGAAACTGACAAGATTTGTAAAATAGGCCTACATGCCTGCTTTTGTTTTTCTGCCAAGTCTTGAAATTGGGTTTTTAGGGTTATAGTGTCATCTAACCCAACAAAAGACTTTTTTCACAAATTTTTTTTTATAAAGAAAAAATAAAACTAATTATGAAAATCCTAACTTCCATGGATTGACAAATACATGAGAAAGAGCAAAAAAAAATTTATTGAATTATTTATGGAATCTTATTAGATTCAGGTCCGGCATAATTTTCATACAAAGAATATTACGATAAACTGAGATGTATTAAATGCGAAACATAAAAAGTGATTCTTTGACAAAAATAAAAATCACTATAAAAAATCATATGCTTAATAAACTAAGAAAAAAAAATCAAAATAAAAATAGAGAAAAAAAAAAAGACAAATACTATTCCAAAAACTCATCTCTAAAACTCCTTTAATCAACCAAGAAAAACACCCATACTTACCTTGTGGTGGGGGAACACTGAGTAGTGATTGTCACTGACAATCTTGATAAGAAAGTGGTTTTCTTGACGAGAAAAACAAAAAAGAGAAGAGGAGAGGAGAAGGGAGATAGAGATATCGTACGTGAGAAGTAAAATGAGAGTTTTATTTAAATGAAAGAGATAGGGTAGGACATGTAGCAGTGAATGATTGGCTGTGAAAATTACATCTCTAGCCATATAATTGCATCTTTTGATGAATTGAGAGCTAATATTTTAATTTAAAAATGAAAGGTTGAGATGAGAGGCAAAGAGAAGGAAATGGAAGGGCAGGAAAAAAGAAAAAGAAAAAAGAGCTGGAGTACTCTGGATTGAGCTACAGTCAATCTACAGTAACCTGTGTCAGTAGTCTAAACAGTATTTTTAGGTTTTGTTTTATTTATTTATTTTATTTGGATCCTAACTTTGTGAAGCAACATAGTCTGAATTGTGAAATACCAACCGTATAATAACTGCTGTCAAATGGGCAAGGCTTAATGGCCTAAACTTGAAGAGGACCCTCTGGTACCAAGGAACGTGGCGAACCTCCACTCTCCTCAAAGGAAAACGTAATAATGGTAATTATGGCAAGAAATAATAGTGATAAAAAAAGTATATTATGGATTAGCATTTCACTTTTGCTGAATTGATGATAATTTTGACAATTTCTCTTGCCACCTGCTGTTATTCTCAGTTGGCATGCTTTGCAGCTAGCTGACAACAAGTATTGTACAATTCTACAGCTCAAGCCAAAAAGATTCACGCTCAATAATGAACAGTAAATTGAAATCTCTTAGCCTTTGCCTTCGGCAAGACTCCGAAACATCAAAGGTTAGTCACAAGCAAAGATGCTGTCCACAAATAATAAGGGCTAGCTCCTAGCATCCAGAATCATCGAGGACTAGCCCATCTCTTCCTAAGAGAGAATGGCTCCTTGTATATCCCTTCTGCTTCTGGTCTTTGCCATTCTTGCAACACTGCCAGCAACCAAATCAGCACCCGCTTTTTTTCCAAGAGCAAGTTATGATCAATCTTTAACCAAACAAACGAAGGCCTCAAAGCCAAAGATCCCATACAAGATTCAGTACTTTCCTCAAGTCCTAGACCACTTCACATTTCAGCCCAAAAGCTCAAAAATTTTCTACCAAAAGTACCTTATCAATAGCCATAACTGGCATAGAGGAGCTCCTATCTTTGTCTACACTGGCAATGAAGGTGACATTGAGTGGTTTGCTGCCAACACCGGCTTCTTGCTTGACATTGCTCCCAAGTTCAGAGCTCTCTTGGTGTTCATTGAAGTAATTAATGTTTCGAAAGACACTTAAAACTCCACAACATCACTTTTTAGCTATTGATAAAAAACCAATCTTTATGTAGCTGTGAACTTGGCTGACATTGAGCATTAACATTTATAATGGGTTTGTTTTTGTGTGATTTTTCAGCATAGATTCTATGGGGAGTCGATGCCATTTGGAAAGGAATCATACAAGTCAGCAGAGACATTGGGGTACTTGAATTCACAACAAGCACTGGCTGATTTTGCTGTTTTGATAAGGAGTTTGAAGCATAATCTTTCCTCTGAAGCATCTCCTGTGGTGGTTTTTGGTGGCTCCTATGGAGGAAGTAAGCTGAAGATTTCCTCTCAGCTTTTGATGCTTTATGTCTGTAGTAAATGGCTTAGATAAATTCAAAGTAGATGGCTTTGCCAAGGAAATTAAGATCAATGGCGATAGTAGCCAAATGTAGGTGTCGTAACTGAAAGAATAGTCATCAATGGAGCAGTAAGCTAGTAGCTTCTAATGCTCTTTGGAGTGTGGTACTGCACTTGCCAAAAAATGGTCTGGTTGGGGGACTGCTGCTTTAATTTTCTTGTCACCCGCGAAATTAGTGTCTCTATTTCTTGTTTTTATTGAAATTAGTTTCCTCCTCCTCCTCCTCTCTCTCTCTCTCTCTCAGTGCTGGCAGCCTGGTTCAGACTGAAATACCCACACATAGCCCTTGGTGCATTGGCATCTTCAGCCCCTATTTTGCAGTTTGATGACATTACTCCATGGTCAAGCTTTTATGATGCTGTTTCCCAGGATTTCAAGGTCTCATTTGCTCTCTTCCTCTTCTTGTATGTGTTGGAGAGGAAGTCAATTTTGGCTTGAATTACTCTCCGTCTCCTTTTTCCTTGCATTTGGTCATTGAGCGATAATTATAGATAATATGGGCAGGAAGCGAGCTTGAGATGCTATGAAGTGATAAAAGGGAGCTGGGCAGAGCTGGAAGCACTATCAGCTCAGAAGGAAGGGTTGACTGAACTAAGCAGAACTTTCAGAGCTTGCCAGTAAGTCTCACCTTTTATTAATAGAATTTACAGAGAATGAAAAAAAGAAAGTATTATGCTTTTTTTGAAATTGTGTTTCATGTATAGAATCTGCATTTGATACATGAATGGGGAGACAACCTTGACCTTTCATTAGGGAGGAAAGACGATCCTACTTGCTTCCCCTTCAATTTAATTTATCAATATAGCAACTAGTTATAAGGCTGGGAAAAGAGAGAGAGAGAGAATAGACATGATAAAGGCTAAAGGCATGAGAAGACTCGGCAGAAAATAATGTTCTGACTTTTGAAAGAGGATATGGCCAATGATGCAGAAGTGGTAAAAGAAAATGCCCAAATTTCTAATATAGGATCTTGCAAAATCCATGACAGGATGTGGGGATAGATAGTCTTCTCCATTCACAAGAATTTGTCTTGACATTTTGGCATGGTTAGGAGATTCTGTGTTATTGGGACGCCAGGAGTTATTGAGAATACTGTTAATCCTTTGGCATCATACTTTGGGTTGATGATAAAAGCTACTTTAGGTTCAAAATATAAATGAGTAATGCTCTTAGCAACTTCCCCACACACACTTGCTTACAAGACTTAAAACAATTTTCACTCTGTGTCTTCCTTACATAGCTAATAAAAGATCAGCTAATAGTTGAAGATAAGAAGCCAGTTTGCACAAAGAAATTGTTTCATGCACGTTTCTGAGTGCATTTTCTCACACCAAGTCCCAAGATTAATTTATTGGTTCTCTTGTTCAGAGACCTTCATTCACTAGATTCAGTCTGGGATTGGTTATGGTCAGCGTATGTCTACACGGCCATGGTGAATTACCCCACTGAAGCTAATTTTATGATGCCACTGCCTGCCTATCCTGTGCAAGAGGTAATATTTGCACTCTAATTCAAGTAGAAATGCATAATAATTAGTATAAATGCGAAATCTAAGATCTTATATTTTGAATATCTCTGACTAATTGTATACTCTGGAAAATTGCTCTCTAATGAAGATGTGCAAGATTATCGATGGATTTCCATCAGAGGCTTCCAAGGTTAGCAGGGTTTTCGCAGCTGCAAGCTTATATTACAACTATTCTCAGGCAGAAAAATGCTTTCAGTTGGAAAATAAACATGATGCTCATGGCCTTCATGGTTGGAATTGGCAGGTAGAAGAACTTTATGACTATAATTCGTCCAATTACTTATATTTGTAGATTTAATTTAAGTGGGAAAAAATATCTAGTAAATTCTTTAATGCCTTGCATGGCTAATCTGAATGTGCATATTTGCTATGGTTTTAGGCCTGCATAAAACATTGCTTCAGAAAAAGTAATGTAGCATTATTATGAAACTGATCCAGTTCTTTACCACTTGGCCTCCAATTTGAAGCGCACAAACACTTTTCTGCATGTATTCTTCTTCCAATAAGTAGCCAAGAACCTACATTTTTAGGTTGCATAATTACAAGACTAAACCTTTTCTCTAACAATGATGCAGGCATGTACAGAGATGGTCATGCCAATGACATGCTCCAAAGAGAGCATGTTTCCCCCATCAGGCTTTAGTTACAAAGAGTTTGCAGAAGATTGCGTGAAAATGTTTGGGGTTAAGCCTAGATCACATTGGATCACTACTGAATTTGGTGGCAAAGTGAGTTTTCTTCATCTTTCCTTGTCTTATGAAACTCCTGTAATAATCTATTCAGCCACCAAGAGATGAAGGGAATAGACATGTCTATCACTTTAGCTAATGTCTGTCTTGTGTGCAGAGAATTGATCAAGTGCTGAAGAGGTCCGGAGGCAACATCATATTTTCAAATGGAATGCAAGACCCTTGGAGCAGAGGAGGGTGAGTTTATCTACTTTTGCCCTTTCTCTGTCCTATTTAGTTTTCGGAGACAAATGCATAGGAGTTCCATCAGTTGGTAGCATGGTATTTCTTTTATTACTTCTCTTTAGAAGTTCTGAAGCTTAATGGGGTTTAGCTGATCATCAATAAGCATCCCTTCTACTAAAATTAATTGACAAGCTTCTCTTCATTTCTTAGTTCTGGTGATGCATGTCACCATGAACCTAACATCCAGGATTCCACAAGGCATGGAATTCAGCACTATTAATTGATTCTTCCTTCTCCTTTGGTTCATCCTAACTTGTTGACCCAGAACATTAGGCATCATGCCAAAGCTTATTTTCTTGACTAAATTTTGCTTATTTATACCTCGTGCATTATCATGGTTGATGCTGCTGCTGCAATGAACTAACTGAATATCCTTGAATCCTAGGGTGCTGAAAAACATATCTTCTACCATCATTGCCCTAGTCACCAAAAAGGGTATGCGAATCTCTCTTCTTTACCACACCTTTCAGCATTATTTTGATGTGCTGCAACTTGAAACTTCTGTCATTGTTTTTCAAGGAGCTCACCATGTTGATTTTCGATCCGCAACGAAAGACGACCCAGAATGGCTTAAAGAGCTGAGGAGACAGGAAGTTGAGATCATTCAGAGGTGGATAGATCAGTATTACGCAGATTTAAAGTGGAGAAATAACGAATGAAAAGGAGGCATGTGCAGTGTGCAGCCAGTCAACTAGGGAATTGCCAGTAGCATTACAAAATGCAAGTGCTTCAACTTTATATCGCAACATGCTGTGCTCCCTTGATAGTTGATCTGCCTATAATCAAGAAAAAAAGGAAATCATACAATTTCTTGAGGCTCTGGCAAATCTATGCATTGAAATTTCATTAATGAAAGCCCATTATATGATCAGCTAGGTTCAGTCTGGGATCCAACCAGCAAGTAACCATCTCTTACTCTCAATAGCCTTAACAGGTAGGCTATGCCCATTGGGATAAAAGAAATAACGAATTTTGATAAATTTTACACTAATCACATAAATAAATAACTTTTAAAAAAGGTATATAATATTATAATTTCTGCCATTGTATTTATTCGTGTAAGATTTATGAATTTGTTTTAGCTTTTCACGTAGCATTATCCACGCCCATGATATTACAAGCTGCAGTGGCATTCAACTTGTTTATCCCAGCTGCCTCTTGGAATTTTACTTCTTTTTGGTTATGAAGACAAGATTTGATCTTTTGGAAGAGGATAGATTGGATATTATCATCAATTAAGTTTTTGCTCAGAACTTTACTCTTTAAATTCTCATAAACTTTACCATCTTCTAACATAACAGTTGCATTTCACGATATTCAACATAGAAAACTCAAAGGGCCATCTTTAACTACCCCATATGGTTTTAAAATGACACCAATGTCAAGCGTGTTTGGACTTTGGACCATCTTATTGTCGTTACCAGCTGGAGTTTTGGCACCGACAACACGTATGTCCTAAAGCCAATGATCAGTTTTTTTTTTTTTTTGCCCTTTCTCTTGAGAAGAAAGCGACGTAAAGTCTTAAGGTAGATTTCATCTTCGCCGACGTTAAACCTGTCTTTGACAAAAGAGCAGCTAATGTAAAGTTTAGACCTCTTCTTTTTTCAAAGTAAAATGTGTAATTAATATTTATTTTTTCTTACACGAACACAACGTAAGCGTTGCCTTTTGCTCCATCTGGTCATATCTTTAAATGAATTGACCAAACAAATTGGATTTTCATCGTACTAAATACCATGAACATACAAATGCTTTTAAACTTACCAAAACGAAAAGTGGTAAAGTTGGAGGGACATTCAACAAAAGGTTCACCCATTTACAAAAGCCCACCACGAGCCCAATACATCAATATATATATATAAAGGTATTTTTTTATATTTGCTGGATATGTTTAAAGTAATTTAATGAATTTATGTAGATATTGATATAAATATTTTGCAATTAGAATAACTACTCTGAGTCAAAAGCAAAAGGTAAGGAGCTCTGGTCTCATGCAAAATAAATTAAAATCAATTATTACGTTTCAATTTTATTTTATTACAGTACAGCTTATAAAGAAAATGTAATGACACAAATTTCCTCAGATGATGAAAAATGAAAAGAAAACACCCACAGACGAAACAGTAAAGATTAGCAGATTCGTCTTCCTTGATTCAACCTTAGCTATCAATCAATGCATCCAAATTAGATATAGATAGATCACCGTTAGATCTCACTCACTTTCTCTCAATACAGAGAAGAAGCTGAGACACACTTGCACGATACTTGATTGGAGAAAGAGAGAGAAAGAGAAATGTCAAGGAGATCAGGGGCTTGCTTGAGGTGTTGTTTGGTGATATTTGCAGTCATTTCAGCTTTAGGTGTGTGTGGTCCTGCTTTATATTGGAGATTCAAGAAGACAATTGGATTCTCTGATTCCAAAGCCTCTTCTTGCCCTCCTTGCATCTGTGATTGCCCTCCTCCTTTGTCTCTTCTCAAGATTGCTCCTGGTATCAATCGAATTCTCTTTCTCTTCATGTTTTTGTTGTTTTGTTGGCGTTTTATTGCGTTTCTGCATCTGGGTGTCGTTAGTTTTTAATCTTGATTGAATTTTTGTAAATTTGAGTGGAATTAAGGGTTGCCCATTTCACCAATTTGTGGTCTTGATCTATTGCTGTTCCTAATTTTGGATCTTGAATTCTCTTAATTGCTTGATTGGTGAATTATCTGTGTTTAGTGGAGTGAAATTTGGGTGATACCAAGTTGATCAATTTCTCTGGTTTTGATCTATAATTTCAGGTTTTGGATACCTATTTCTACTCTCATATGGTTGCAACCTTTATTTGAGAAGAGAAAATGATGTAAAAGCTATTAGTGTTGCATATATATTGAATTAACTAAGCTATGATGAGCTCTTTTTGTGACCGAGGGACTTTGCAAGATCTGTCTTTGAACTTGCTTGATTTGCTCTGTATATGTATGACAGTATTGCTTTTATTTAACTGATGCATCATTTTAAATGCATACATCTTGCATGCTTTCTCCTCACATTATTTTCAGGTGATCTGAAACCTATTGCATTTGTTTTTGTTTTTTTTTTTTTTTTTTTTTGACTGTGCAGTATGCACTCAGTTTCTGTAGCGATGAGAAGTTGTATCACTTCTTGTTCAAAGTTCCAATCTGTTTGCAACTGGATGCTTGATTAAATTTGAGTCCTTGTGTGCTGAAAAGATACTCAAATAAGCAAGAAAATTTGCTATGAAAATTCTTGAATTGAAAAGCTCGTTTGGTAGCAAAATATTTTGAAAAGTTTTCTCTAGCCAATGCTACTGCCCGCAGCATTCATCATACCCTCTATTAGAATTATTAGAAGAAAAATTTTCCTTTACATGGTTCCTTACATTTCTTGATCCAATTCCTTGCATAATTCGTTGCAGTGCACTTAGTTTCTTCGTGCTTATGAGCTTATTATTTGTTAAATAGACCATGTTTAGAAGTCAAAAGTTTAATTTTGAGGAAATCATACTCTTATGTAAAGTATTGTGACTTTTGTTTTGTCTTATGGTTACAGGGTTGGCCAACCTTTCAGTCACAGGTTAGAGCTCATTCTAAAACCCAATTTGTTGGATTGCTTTTATTTGTTATTCGGAGAACACAACTTTTTTTTTGTCCTGCACTTTCTGAAAGCCTCTTATAAAGCGAGGTTAGGGTGTAGCTACTTTATCAGACTTTTATGATTCCCTTGAACTTATATATTTGAACCTTGTATGTATGTTATTCCAACATACAACTGCTAGGAACCTTGCATTTGTTTGATAAAAATGTGAACATGCCCCATAAATTGTGTTGCTTTCTTCAGTCTGCAGAATGGGAATTTGATTTTCTCAAGTTATTTGGATTTCTTCCATTTATGATTTCAGTTCATATAATGTTATTTAATTGTTATTAATTGCTTTTAGTTGAATAACCACATTCATTCACATTTCAAATATGTAATTTTAATTAACAACTACAATGTTGCTACTGGCTTCCAAGAGTTAATGACTATCTGACCACCGGCAATTTGATGAGTGAAAAAAATGCAATTAATTGTTAGTCAAATGTCCTTTATAGTTTGAGCTTTAATTCTGTTGCTCCTTTTTCGCTTTAGGTATTTCTTACTATTTTATTTTATCTCAAAGAAAATTTAGTCCATGGAACAAAATAAAAATTCAAAAGAACTGCTTTAACACTCATGGTGTTTGAACTTATTCCAGCCTTTCATTCATGCTCTCAAAATCTTCTTTTATTACGAGTAGATAAAAGCTTGTGGCACCTTCTCTTTCTCATTTATTTCTTTCCTTTAATTATGGTTTGTGGAATCGTGGTCACACTGCCTTGACATGACTTTGGGATTATCATAGATTGTGGAAGTAATGACCCAGATCTCAAAACGGAAATGGAGAAGCAGTTTGTGGACCTTCTAACAGAGGAGTTGAAATTGCAAGACGCTGTTGCTCAAGAGCATGCTCATCACATGAACATCACTCTTGCTGAAGCAAAAAGGGTGGCATCCCAATACCAGAGGGAGGCAGAAAAATGCAATGCTGCCACAGAAACATGTGAGGGGGCAAGAGAGCAGTCTGAAGCATTGCTGACTAAAGAGAGGAAAGTTACTTCCTTATGGGAGCGACGGGCCCGCCAACTGGGCTATGAAGGAGAGTAATTGTTATACAAATGATATTAGAATTTTTACAGTTGAACTTTTGAATTGTTCTATCGTTAGCTTTTATACTAGCAGGCGCGAGCAAATTGCTTGAGATCCTTGCTTACTCTGTCACTCGCAAATTGCTTCAGTTTTCTTGCAAAGGCAAGCAAATGGTATGTATCTATCAATTTCACTGGTAACTTACCTGTTCTGGATCGACCAGCTCATCCATTATTTCTAGTGTTCTCTTAATGAATTACTTGATACAGTGCTGTACTGCAATGCAATACTGTAATGGACATGATTTTACAAGGCTTGTTTGTTATCTATATATCAACCTCCTTGACCACTTAATTTCCATCCTTAGTTTTGTGGATTTTTTTCTTGCTGTATCTTGGCCGTAAAAAGTATCAGCTGTTCACTTCACCATACCTCATTAACCTCAGCCATGTCATTTCCTCTGTGTTCTCTGTGCTTGCAATCCTCCTGCAACAGGTCACTTTGGAAATAAGAATGCACCTGGTCACATCTTATCATAACCTTGTCCCAGCTACATGTATCCTTACCATGGCTTGGCTTAGCCAACATCTTTTTATACAACGGAGAAGCCCCCCTCTTCTTTCTTACTTTTTACGACATTGAAAAACCTTGCTAATATCGTAACCTCATCCTTATTATGATAATTTCCAAGTTTTCATACCTAAAGAATGACTTTTATCACATCTAGACAAGTATGAATAGATAAAACCAACAAATGCATAGACTTTTCAGATCTCTAATAATCAAACTTGCGGGCATTCCCAAACTCAAGGGATTGTAAATTGCGATCCAGATTTGTATAAATGTAACTTGATATTAGAAATTGATACCTAACTGCAACTTTTTCCACAACCTTCGATAGTGTTTACAGTAGTGGTAACTTTCACTGCTGTAGATGACTGTTTAACGACAGAGTAGGTACGAGGTTTCGGGGGTTTCAAGATTTCACCTCGTGGCCAGGATGATTATACTGACTTCTAGCTGGACAGATCCAGTTGGGATTCACCTTCTTGTCGTGGCCCAAAAACAGAAAGAAGAAAAACTAGACAAAATAAGTACAGGGTTCTATTTATAAAATCTGTAGTTTTCATTTTTGTAGCATTTATTGACAATAAATCCATCAAGGGACAGGGGAGATACCGAGCATATAAAACAAGAAAGCAATTGAAGCTGTTTGTATCCAAACAGAACCGAAGGGGTGAACTTGTGGACATCTAGCAAAAAAAATGATATATCTGGTTTGGGCCCAAGTGACATACCTAGCCATCATCACCGATTTGACTTTCCACCTCCAAAAAAAATCACAAACAGTCCAATAACACATGCTCCGAAAGAAGACAGCAATTAGACACCCACAAACGCGGTTTCAAAGACTTTCAAAGTTCATGCACTCACTGTCATGCCTGGTCTTAAACCTTACTTTTTTTATACGTGAGAAAGAAATATTTTATTATCTTACATCATAAATAAAAAAGAAAAAAAGAAATCAACTTGGATCTGTCTTAAAACTGAACAAACGCATCATCTTTGCAATATCCAGATCCGGAAGCTGTGTTAAAAAGCGGTTTCTGCTTCTATTTGAGTCTGAAAGTTCCAGTCTTTTTCTCTTCAGATTAATGTAGTGATGTGTAATATGCTGTACATATAGTGGTTTTGTTTGTTTTTTCTCTGAAGTTTCTCGGGTTGTACTTGGATCTTTGGAACTATCTTGCAGACCTCTCTAAGTTTGGAAAGGAAACTGAAAAAAAAAATTGGATTCTGTTAAAGTTTCTATAAATGGAAAGTTCAAGGGGCAGGAGAGTTGAGAAAAGAGGTTATGAGCAGAGTGTTGATGATGAAGCTGACAACATGCCTGAATCAAAAAAGGCAAAATTGCCTGCTTTAGCAAGGTTAGTCTTTGTACTATTTCATAAGATTTCTTGTTTTCAATTTTAATTACAACAGTGATTCATGGTCAAAGCAATTTGTGGTTTGATTTTGTTTCTTGGCTTGAAAGATTAATAAGGACAACTATAAGAGAATTGAAAGAATGAATTTTGCTAATTAGGATCCAAAACAGGTGGTTAATTATAGGAGGATTGGCAGATTGGATTGATTTCCTTGGATCCATTGGTTTGATTTTTAAAATTCAGCATTTCTATCAGTTTCATTCGTTCTACAGCTCAATTGAGTCTTCTCATTTTAATCTGATGCCTAGACCATATAGGGGCGATTCCTATTTACAATGATTCTGATGCCTTTATGATTTGTGGATCCCATGCCAAACTTAGCTATGCAAAGTGAAATATTATCATGATCAAGGTTGGTGACTTGATAGACTTCAGGAATCATTGGAACTGCTTGGAGAGTGAGCTTCAACTTGATTGACATTGAAGGAGGTACATGAAGGAATGATCCTGTGATTGTGGAAAAAACTTGGGTATTGTAGCATTATCATAATGGGATTGCTCTGCTGATTTGGGCTGATTTCAGAATCAAAGCGTCCACTGAGTTAGTTCTACTAAATCGGGCCGATGATTGAGATCAAGATTTGTAACTATTGAAATATCAAATATGTACCTAAGCTTTTGGATTCAAGTTCCAAACAGCTTAAACTAATGTGTGGATTTGTTGAATATTCAAGCCAATGTTTTGGTGCATAATTGAGTCAGTTTGTCTAATGTCTTCTTTGTTCAAATGTTCTGCATCAAATTTTTTGAGTCCACTCCCAATGATATAACATGACTTCATTGATCTGCAGTGTAATTGTAGAAGCCTTGAAGGTGGATAGTTTGCAAAGACTTTGCTCATCTTTGGAGCCTTTGTTTCGAAAGATTGTAAGTCATAAATTCGTTCTTTAATTCGTTTATTATAATAAAGTTTAGGTTGAGTTGAGGTATATCGATGACTGATAAGCTTATTATTCTAGGAAGAGTGAGATTATGCTAAACCTTTAGAAGATACCTTTACACTGTTGCTACTGTATATTTCTAGTTGATTGTATTTCATGGGAATTATGACGGAGGTCACCAATTTTGTGCTCACTTATTGTCAAACTGAAATAGTTGAAGAGACTTCTATGCATAAACTGCAGTTCAATATGTTGATAAAAAGACGTTGGCAACATTCAAGCATTTCCTTGTCTAGTTATCTCCAATTCGTCTGCAATTGTTTCAATTTTTTCGAAGGCATCATGATCATCACATATTATCTAATTCTAGTTATCTCCAATTCCTTTCGCTGATTTTGAATGAATAATCAGGTCAGTGAAGAAGTGGAACGTGCTTTGACAAGGTTAGGCCCTGCTAAATTGGCTGGAAGGTAGGTTCCTGGATATTTTTGAATTCTAAATAGTAAAAATTCCTCTCCTGTCTGCCTTGGATCTTCATGATGCGGATAAACAATGTAGAAACAACTATGAGAAATTTCATTTATACCCCATGTTCTCCTGATGGAAGTTGGGAACCTAGAAGTATTAAAAGAAAAACTGCAATGTATTGGTATTCATACGATGAATTACATTTCTACCTGTGGCAGGTCGTCACCACCAAAACTTCCAGGCCCAGAAGAAAACAGTCTACAACTTCATTTCAGAACAATAATGCCTCCCCACCTGTTCACAGGAGGGAAAGTTGAGGGGGAGCAAGGGGCAGCTATCCATGTTGTCCTGTTAGATGCAAGCACTGGAACTGCCATGCAAACTGGACCAGAATCAGCAGCTAAACTGAATGTTGTGGTTCTTGAAGGTGACTTCAATGAGGAAGCTGATGAAGATTGGACAATAGAGCATTTTGAAAGCCACGAAGTAAAGGAGCGTGAAGGTAAAAGGCCACTACTGACTGGGGACCTGCAGGTCACTCTCAAGGATGGGGTAGGAACTCTTGGCGATCTTACTTTTACCGACAATTCTAGCTGGATAAGGAGCAGAAAGTTCAGGCTTGGTGTCAAGGTTGCTCCCGGATATTGTGACGGGATTCGTGTTCGTGAGGCTAAGACGGAGGCATTTGCTGTTAAAGATCACCGAGGAGAATGTGAGTTTTCAAATGCTTGTAATTTATGGTTGCTAGTTTAAACACCATGCAGTGCACATCCTTATTGGAGAGTAGAACTGTAGAGTATAAACATTAAAATTGGTGCTCAAAAATAGTAGATTCTAGATACTCTTACTTGGCAAAATAGATGGCTGGCCACTAAGCCTCTCAAATGACAACATATTCCTGGGTTTCTCTGTCATTTAATTGAGAAACTATGATATCATGCAAATATAGTACATTTATTGGTAAAGCTAGTAACCTTCCTCGCATAATCTGGTGCATATTGGATGGTGACAGGTTGCAAGAGTAGCAGGAGATTAGTAGTTCACTCTTCATTCTACCAACCTGTAATTCTTAGCTTGGGTGAAAGATAACTCGCCATCAAGTAAATACATGAGTAGTACAGAATGTTTTGACTAGGGACGTCAGTTATTTTCTTGGGTGTAAACATGCAATGCAAAAACCTTAGAATTCAACCAGTGCAACAGCCAGTTCTGCAGCTTCTTAGAAACAAACCTCCAGTTTATGGGCTCTCTTATAGTTTGGTTAACTGTACTCGGTTAAAATGCAGCCTCTTAAATTTATTAAATATCAGATGAATTATTGCCATAAGTTTTTGTAACCAAGATTGTTTATATAATTTTCAGTATACAAGAAACATTATCCGCCAGCTTTACACGATGAAGTTTGGAGATTGGACAGAATAGCAAAGGACGGAGCACTGCACAAAAAATTGGTGAAGGCTGATATTACAACAGTTGAAGATTTTCTCCGTGTTCTCGTTAGGGATCCAAAGAAATTAAGAAATGTAAGAATCCTTTCCTTTTCCTTTCATATGTCCTGACAAACTTATTATCCTTTTTCAGTTCATATCCCTTGTTTCCATATTGATTGTTCAATTTCCTGTTTTCCACTTTGGCGTTCACATAGATCCTTGGAAGTGGAATGTCAAATAGGATGTGGGAGAATACAGTTGAGCATGCAAAGACTTGTGTCTTAGGAAGAAAGCTTTACGTTTACTATGCTGATGGTAATCGTAGCACTGGTGTTGTTTTCAATAATATTTATGAGCTCACGGGCCTTATTTCTGATGGGCAATTCCTGTCTTTGGAATCACTCAACCACAATCAAAAGGTTAGATATTCTCAACTATTCAGAATCTACTACAACATTGCACATTATTTAACCCTTTAGTTTTGCTCCAGATATACATCTGCTTATATAGCACAGAATCCATCTATTCAAAGTGCTGAACAAAAATAGTACAGTTAGCTTTAGGGAAAGTAGTGACTATTAATCTGCTCATATTACTTGACAATCTAAAGGAATATCATTAAAACGTGTTGCAAATAATCTTGAAACTAAAGATTAAAGAACAGAAAAGATGTGAGAATTTGCATGTTATGTTGTGTAGAGTCAATACAATTTGTCCTGCCAATGTGTTTGATTGGTCAACCATCAGGATCTTTTACAACGGACTGTTTATTCGCTACTTTAGGAATAAGAAATGGCCTTATTCAGACGCATTAAATGTGGCAGCTTTAGCTGCCCTAACAGTGTGTTCAGAATCTTGGATGGCATGAATCTAAAACCTCTCTTAGGGATTGGAGGATCCATCTGCATTACTTGAAGGCTGTCATAAGAAGTAAATTTTGCTCATTCATGTTAATGTTTGCTCACAGATTTCAGCGGATTCCCTGGTAAAGCGAGCATATGAGAATTGGCATCAAGTTGTGGAATGTGATGGCAAAGTCCTGAACTCCCTAGCTAGCAATAAGAGTGGCAAAGGAGCCTCTCCTGCACCCATAGTTGACAACAGCTACGAGAGAAATCACTACATAACATCTGCTCAAAACAAGCAGCAGTTTATCCTTTCTGAACCAAGTCCACAATACCAAGTTTTAACTAACCACCCATCAGTCCCTCAGTTGATTGAATTTCCATTTGTTAGTTCTGATCAGAATGCAGTAATGACCCTGAATAATCCACAAGAAGCATTACCTGGCAGCATGGATTATATGTCAGTTGGAACTCCTTCAGGTGGGGGTACGTACTTTCCAGGAGATTGGTCTCGGCCAAGGAATGGGAATGGATTGGAAGACTTTTTTGCAGAAGAAATACGGCTAAGGAGTTCAGAGATGTTGGAGAGTGATGACATGCAGAGACTGCTAAAAACATATGGTATGGGTGGGGTTGGGATGGGACCTGGTTTTGGCCATTCTGACGAGGCTTGTTACTCTTACAGCATTCAAGCTTATGAGCCTCAGATGGATCAAGGATATAAACAAGAACGTGGAAAGGGCTCAGGGAAGGCCGTTGTTGGATGGCTTAAGCTGAAAGCAGCTCTACGTTGGGGGATATTCGTAAGGAAGAAAGCTGCAGAGAGAAGAGCTCAGCTTGTTGAGCTTGATTAAGTTGAATTTTTAAATCTAATTTAACCTGAGGTTTACTGATATGATATCGTTTTGGATGCCTGTGAATCTTTTAATGCTTTATATTGATTGTTGTGAGACATCAGTGAATAGTTTAAGTTTAACAGATTGGGATTGGAAGGCACGCTCAATTATTCCAGGTTCTGCATCCTTTGCCTATCATATCAGTAAAAAGAGAGATGGAGAGCTAGGGCCGTTTCTTACCCCTATTATCCTTGTTTAAAGTTCAAGGTTCTTTTCCTTGTTCCCCCTGTAAAAGCAAGGTATTAATTATCACGTTTAAATGTCATATTTTTACTGTAATTTTTATATACTCATCACTTTTCCAGATCTTTTATATACGAGTATAAATGTTGTATTTGTAGAGTTTCAGGCATGATATGCGATGGCACGTCCTTGATGACAAATCTGTGAATTCAAATTTGAGTTGTTTTACTTCACTAATTTGAGCAATCATGTAAATGAGATGATGTAGCCATCAAAGATAAACTTACTAAATCATTATCACCAATGCTGTACAGTAATGATCATCGGAATCGGACTGCAGAATTCAATCCTTCTCCTCTTATCAGAGGAACATAGGAACGTCAGAATGCTACCCTGTGACTCTTTATCTTTCTATTCCTTGTATTGCATGAAAATATGAATCACACTACCTCCTATGGATTGCCCAAATACAGATTGCAGAGTATCAAACACACTCTTGCTTACCCCAATTCCACAGAATAAGAAATGAGGTGCCCGTGTTTGTCTATACACGAGACAGACAATTCTTAGTAAATCCAAAGACAGTGGATCTCAAAATGGTTGTCGGAACAAAATAAACATAAGGGACAATAAGTCCTGTCTAATGGAGGCTGTTTAAAGCAACCATGCATCTTTTCTTTTCTTTTTGCCCCAGATCTGTAATACCTTCCCTAGTCATGCATTTTCGGCAAAAGGTCTACTTCTGTTGGCAGGTTCAAGCTCGAAGGCTCCAAAAGCAATCTGGAAAACTTTTATTAACTTTCAAAGTAGATTTACAATCAGCATATAATAAAAATTAAAAATGATGAATTTAATATTTACGATTAGTTCATCAACAAGAATTGAGAAGTGGAGGAAAGGAATAAAAAACAAGGGTCCTGCTATAAATGTTAACCAGTAATTAACAGAGAATAAGAATAGAAAGAAGAAGATGAAAGTACATTGGGAAAAAAGAGAAGGGAAAGGCCTAAAAAGATAGGAGTAATCAATTACAAGATACAAATTTGTCCATGAGAGAGTGAACTCGGATGCTCTTCTTCTCCTTAAATTTGGAGGATGAAGACTCACATGCATGATCCGGGTGAGTAAGATTCAAACCCAAATTCTCCATCCATTAAGACACCATCATTCTGATCCTGCTTCAAATACATTATGAAGTGTCAAAGAATGCAACTTAACAATTTTAACTCTAAAGAAAAGGTCAGTATTTTTCCAAATAAACATGCAAAAAGAAAATGAAGAAGCAACTACAAATTAAAAAAATTTCACAGGAGCAGATATAATGAGGTTGGTAGACATGACTCACAACTCCGTTGAGTTCTACCTATCTATTGGGATTTAATGAATTATCAATTGTACACATTTGCATCCTCTCCTCTCTTTCGTTCGCCTTTCAGTCACTACAAATGTTTGCAAGGTAGCTTGAGAAAAACATTTTGATAAATGGAGACTAAAAAAAACCCTACCAATCATAGACTTATTACTAATTAAATGGAAGTGGCAAATTGATATGAATAACATGTAATCTGTCTATCAAAACAAAAGGATCTAAAACATTAATGCAAATATGTGCAACCACGACCAACTCTCAACATATCAACTAGACAATAAAGGTTATATCATCTTGAGCTTTTATAAATTTTATCAAAAAGAAGCAAAAGAGTACTTCAAAGATTGTCCCTAACTTCTTTAGAGCAAGAACTTGAAATGATGATTGGAAAAGCTGAAAAGAACGCATCTGAAGTGTGCAACTGAGATGGATAAAGCAAAAAACATTCTCATACCCGTTTGATCATTGCAGTCATTATATCATCCAAAGACTCGTAATTATTTTGAACGAAACCATTCGGGGACTTTGTTTGCTCCAAGATAAAGTCCTCATTAGACGTCATTTTTGGAACCAAAGCAGAATTCTCGACATCAGGATGCTGAAACATGGATAGATTCCCACTGTTTGATTGACCATTTATAGATGCATCAAACCTTTTCCTTTGTTCCATACTCTGGTTCAATGCGCCAATGGAACCATTGCCAGAAACCAGGGAGTTCATGGCACCGAATGAACCATTTAGAGCAGGATTATAGTTTTGGTTATTTTCTTCCCATCTGTTCTTTGATGTGTAATTTGTTGTATTCTGAAAAATATTGCCAATCAAGTCTGCTTGTCCTTGCATGTCTATTCTGGAATCTTCTAAAGGTGCTGTGAGAGAACTCGTAGAAGAAAAATCAATGGGGCTATTAACAATGTGAGAGGTTGTGGAAGATATATGGTCTCTCAAAGTACTGGAAGGCAATAGATCATGTCTGAAACGTTCACCCAATGGCAAAGAGTTTGAAGGAAATGTGGACAATTGAACTGCACCATGCCAGTTATCATCACATCTACTATGATCCAGAAAATTTGAAGAGCCACGGACACCAACATCAAAAGACTCCTGATTTAATGAAGGCGTGCTTAGAGAAGATTGAGTCGCCAATGATCCCCTACCCTGATTTTGTTGTTGGTTCGCTTGTAGTATCGAAGGGTTGCTTGTGCCACTAGATATGGTGTTGCTCAAGCTACCAATAGTCACTTTGGCATCCGGGAAGCAACTTGCAAGTGTAAAACCTGCTGCATCACCTTTGCGGTTAAACTCCCCAATATGATTAATAGACTTCATTTGTAGTTGCTTGGGATCCAGTGCTGAAGGAATCCCTTGAAATATATTTGTGCCTTGGTTTGTTGGTAAGAGACTGGACTGGAGCATTCCAAGAGTATTGAGAGAGTTGTTTAAGGTTTGGGAATGACCTGGCTGGAGCAGCCCAGAAGAAGCTATTCCCCGCAAGGTTAAACCACCAGGAGAGTTCAATCTACCAAGCAAACTCCCGGGTGGATATGATGAAAGAGAAGTGGCTGAAAGCCTTCCTGGTCCATGCACAGAGCGAAAATCTCCAAATCCATCAAGTGAACCCATTCGCAAGTAAGATGGATCTTTAGCACCAAATGCAGAAACCAGGTTGCCTTGCTGGTTTGCTCCACTACTTAGTCTTTTCAGGTAAAGCCTAAATTTCTGCAAGAAAATATAAACGGCAATCTTCAAAATGACCACAGCAACACTAACACAAGGTCAGAATTTTATTAGACACATCTACATACTTGTTGATAAAAAACCAAACAAGGCCCCATTCTAACTATCATGTGAAACAACAGTACAATTGACATTTCTAATTTACAAAAATGGGCATCATTTTGCCAAATTTTCCACAACAGTGTTGAACACGCGGTTAGCCTGATATACAATCCCATTATGATGTCACCCCAAGCACAGGTGAAGAATTCACAATCATAGGCATTATTTCTCATGGAAAGTATGGAAGCAAAAAGGAAATATCAGTACCTGCAAATGGCTTGCCACATTTTCCCTTGTAAGCCCATCAACATTCATCAGGTCAAGTATTTTCTTCGGAACAGCCTCTGCAAATGATTCAAGAAAAGGGTAAATCAAATGGTACTAAAATTAGTAAGTATGGTAACAGAAAAACAAAAAATATTGCTTCTGAGTTGAGGAAACTCACTTTCAAGACCCAGTTGATTGACAGCGGAGACAAACTTCTGATGCAAATCCACAGACCAGACAACTCGAGGCTTCTTCTGATTCCCAGAATCCTCATTACCATTTCCATCTTCACCCTCTTCTTCCTCCTCTTCGTCTTGGTCCTTGCGTTTCCGATTTACTTTTCCATTTTGATCCGCACTATCAGTTGATGTCACTCCTTGCTCCCCTTCTCCAGCTCCATCACCACCCTTGTCTTGATTTGGGGACCTGTTTTGGTCCTGGGGATACCATTTCTTTCTCCTGATTACATGTTGCCATATGTTTTTGAGCTCCTCCATTCTAACAGGTTTTAGCAAATAGTCAACAGCACCATGTGTAATCCCCTTATATACAAACTCTTTATCACCATGAGATGATAACACTGCAACAAAGTTCATGGAGGCAGAAAGTTATATTTAAATCCAAATTATCCATAGATTCAAATCATTTCTCATTTATTCCTTAAGTGAAGACTACACACGGTAATTACAAGATACAACTTTCTTAAAACCAGCTGCATAGCTATTGCAAGAAGCACAAACAACAAAGAGGTTACCCAATCTAAGTTCAAATGTTTTATCATTGTTCACGAGGCAACATTATATTGCAAAAAAGAAAGTGAAGGTCCGTAACCACTTTACAAAAATAGTATTTGCTTACTGATGACAGGAAGGTCCATTTCGAGCCCCACTAGTTCAAGGAGCTTAAAGCCATCAATGTCTGGCATGTTAACGTCACTGATAACCAAGTCATACTTGTTTCTGTTTTCTCTCAACATTTCCAGAGCAGTGACTGCTTGATTGGTAGTTGTAACTGCAAACACCATAAATAACATGTAAAAAAAGAATCTGAATTTGAACCAATTTCGACAATAAAAATTCAAAGCCCAGAACACTATAATGTAGATTCAAATTACATGCACCCCAAATTCAGAAGTGTAATAGAGTAAGAGAATCCGATTACTAGCAACAGCGCTATAAATCTATACAACCATAACAATAAACAGAAAACAAAAATATATTAGTTCTAAGAAAGGAGGAAATGAACAAACAGTGAGAATTAGTCCAAGCCTTCTAAAATGCAAAGAACTAAAACTTGAATGGACAAAAGTAACGAATTACAAATTCAAACTTTGAATACAAAGACAATTAAAACATAATTTCCCTAACCTCCAATCAAAAGCAAATTAACAAAACAAAACAACAATTGTCCCACAAAGAAAAAAACAGCAAAACGTAATAATAAAACATTATAGCTAATGGTTAATACAATACTTTGCCAAAGACACACATATAGAATTTGTCAAAAATCAAAACCAAACTAAAGAGACAACCAAAAAATTGATAAACCATGTTCAAAAATTCACAGGAAAAAAGAAAAAAGAAAAAAGAAAAAAAGGTTGAAACTTACCCTCATACTGGCATTTACGAAGCAAATTCTCCAAAACTTTGAGGCAAATTGGGTCATCATCAACAGCTAGAACACGCATACCAACAGGAAACATTTTTTCATTAACTGAATTACCACCCCTTTGGTCCTCTACAGTCATTATGTACCAAATAAATGGCACTCAATACAGAGATCACAAAAAAGTTCTGATTTTTATGAGTACTTCAATTGAAAGATGTGTTCTTTAACCCTTTCAGACAAAACCCATATGGCAAAACAAGGGAAAGAGAGAGATACAATGGGGTTGGATCAAAAAAAGAATCAGAGAAACAGAGAAAGAATGGAAGTTAGTAATACTAAAAAGCTGTACAAATGGGACAATGATGGTGATAGCCCAAAAGAAAGAAAGTGATGGGTGTTTCAACCCAAAAATAAAACAGAAATCTATAACTAGTTTCTCCTTCTTTTTTCTTTTTTCTTTTCTTTTAGTACACAAAACACAAACTCTCTCTCTCTCTCTACACTCTGTATTTGTCTTTAGCTTTTTTCTTCACTTCTCAACAGAACACAAAAGCCTTTTGCTTTTTCTTGCATTCTTTAATAATTTGTCAATGTATATGATAATGGGGTTTTGTTTTTATATGACCTCCTCTCTCTCTCTCTTTCTCTCTCTCAATCTCTCAAGCATTTTTATTTTCTTGATTTTTTTATGGTATACTTCTTTTTCTCTTGTCTCCATATATGGAAGATGTAGACTTTTGAGGTTTTGATAATCAGAACGTAATGTGCAAAAAACATGTAAATGGGAACAGTGTTTATTACTTAAAAGTTGACGAATCAAGGCCGTCCATCTATTATGATTGTAAGGGCCATTGGAGGATCAAAGGAAGGGAATTTGGTGGCATTTGTGAAGGTGAAGCGAAGTGGGGTCCTACGAAATTTTGTGGGAAGGATGAATGGATTAATGATTATTCCTATCATTTAAGATGGTGACTCTTTTGGTAATTAAAATTGTACGGTGACAAAGGGAGGGTGTCTTTGGTTCGTTAAGTTTTGATGGGCACTAATGACAATCAATCAATGACTAGATCTTCTTCCTAAATTATTTAAAATTTGAATGTTTAATTTAGTGAAACTAGCATGATGGTACATAAATGGGAATCAAACAATAACGCCGGATGGATTGATTCTTTACTCTTTTGGTAATAAAAGTTGTAGGGTGATGATCATAAAAAGGGTGTTTAGGTTGTAAAAGTTGTTGGTGATAAAAAGAGTGTTTAGGTTTTTGTTTGCCCTAACGACAATAATGACTTCTTTTTTCTATGAAGATAATCAATTAATAAAAGTTTTTCTCGATAAAAAAAAATCTAAATTTAATTTTTCAGCCTAATTGAAGAAAAATCTTTACTTGTCGAATAATATCCATCACTTCGTACTTCATCTAGTTAAATTAAACGATGTGTATATATTGACAATCGTATTAAATTTATTTATTTTATGTGTTTTAGAAAAATAAGAGCAATGTATAAAAATAAAAATAAAAATTCATGGATTAATGATTCGTAAAAATAAATAAAATAAAATAAAATTTTCAACAGTCTTATTGGGATGTGAATCGTGAATAATTAGCATATAAGAACATAAAAAAAATTCAACGAATTAAGAAAATAAAAGAATGGTAAATAACAACATTATAGTACAGTTTTAGTAAAGTTATGAAAAACATGAGTAAGATTATAAATATTTTGAAAAATATATTTGGTAAGAAAGTAAAAATTAATGTAGGTAACTGAATGTGTGATAATTAATGGAGACATACAATGTGTAATCCTAATCTACTCACTCTGTAAAAACTTTAGGATAAAATTAAGGGCCAGAATCCAGACAGAATCTCTGGTGATTAGTTGGCCTTTAATTGCTGAATGATTCTACTGCCTTTTCTACTCTTCCAGAATTGGAAAAATATATAATTACATCCTCCATCAGCAAAATTCCTTTGTTTGATTTTCAGAGGCATCGTGATTGAAGTTTTATACAGGGTAATAATACCCGTTTTGGGTAATGGTCTGTCTAAAGACGATTTAGCCCTTAATTTAAATCCAAAAAGGGAAATTGAAATAGGTGCAAATATGTCTTTTGGGTGTTTTGGAAGGTCACGTCTCTTCGGGGCTTTTTTTGCCCCTCTGTTTAGAGTAAAAAACATCCTTACATCAGTTTTGATGCAATAAGATTAAATTACTATTGGTTAATAATCTATACAGACCATCCACACCTGTATTAATGCAATAAATTATCTTTTTAAGTGATTATTCATATATAAAAAAATGTGATCTAACGATAAAGAAGTTGTCTTTATTTGATCAAAATTAAAGTTCAATTTTCACTATCAACAAATAATTAGTTATAGTTATTCTTTAATAACGATAGACTTGAGCTTATTTAATTTAAGAGCAAATCCAGTAGACAACCAAAGATTACGTGCATTTTGATGTATTAGTTCAGAAAGTAGTAGATTAAAACGAATCCAAGTAAACGACTAAAGATCAAACGTGTTTTGATGTGTTAGTTTAGAAAGCAATAGACTTAATTTTAATTGATGTGAAATCTGATTTGAAAATATTTCATTATATTATTCATAATTAAATTGTAAATAATAATATAAGAAACATGCTAATTTATAAATTAGACTAAGCTTTCTTCTTCTTCTTGTTTTTTTTTTTCAAGTGTGGGTGATGACTGATGCTTTCAATTTGATAATACGTTTCCAATTATCAGTTTTTTTTTTTTTTTTTTAAAGAAAGTAATTGTGCGCATAAAATACGAAATCGAATAAAAACTTTTAAACTGAAAAGGCAGATTGTTGCTTCTTTCACATTTTTTTTTCCATGCGAAAAATGCTCACCCTTGTACTCTACCTTTTTCTTCTTCTTGTTCTTCTTCTTGTTCTTTTTTTTTTTTTTTTTTTTTTTTTTTTGCGTTTGCTTGTTTTTGCAGCAAATATAGTATATACCTTAGATCCTTTCACCCTCGCAAGGTGCATTATTTTGTCTAATTTAATTCAAACGTTTTTCAATTATGAAAATGAAAAAATAGATAGGTTATCCCACAAGAATATTGCACCTACATCATGCTGTTTTTTAGTTTTATTTTTATTTGAAAGAGAAAGAAACTATTGATATTAAATTCAAGTGAATATAAGTGAATTCGAACTTTCAATTTTATAGATAAACATTTTATAAAAAATTCATTTACCACTATACCAATATGCTATAAGCACTTAATTTAAGCTTTGTTTTTTTGTACTTATTGCTACTTTTATTTTTTTATTAGTTTGTACAAATGAGAGCAATTGCCCCTAATGGGTAAAACATTAAAGTATAATTTGGTATACATTGCATTTTTTTTTAATGATTTTGCCAAGATAAAAAATAAAAAATCATATTTGTATCCACAAAAAATAACAAAAATATTTTTGTCTAAACTGTTTTTTTTTTTGCTTTCCTGTCTCTCATCTAAAGTGAATATTGATAGTTATTTATAGAATAATATAAAATTTCTCGGCTCATACAACACACACATATTACAATTAGTTAAATTATGAGATGATAAAATATTTTTTTATGTTTTATTTATTGAAGCTGTTTAAAAATTCATTATCACTTATCTATTATGAAATGAATAACATTTTTTTTAAAAAAATAATTATTAATTAGCATAATTATGGAATAATTAATTAAATTATTGCATAATAAAATAAGCTATAACGATACGATAAATAAAAATATTTAATAATTTATAAATTGAAGACACTATAATTATAATGCTTTTGAGTAATCAATACAAGCACATATGCATTGTACAAAAAAAAACTAGAAATTGAAAATAAATTATTCACTAAAAACCAAAATAAAGTTAATTACGTGGAAAAACACTCTTTTCTTTTTAGCATAACATTCATCTAATATTACCCGACGCAAGAAAGAACATTTTTTGAACATGCATAGGAATGACTCGTCTGGAACCCACTGAATTTTCGAAAGCTTATCCGAATATATTAATACATCATCAAATAAATACAATAATAAGAAAAGCAGAAAAGTTATCTTAAAAAGACTATATATTCAGGAAAATTTTTTTTTGACTTTTTGGTGGTGGCGTGCTATCACTCGCTGTAAAAAAGAGAAATGGGTACAAAAAATACTGGAAGCTAGAGTTAGGTCAGCGTGTCCCATGCCTAGAAAAAGTACCAAAAAGTACATCTTTCTTTCTTTCTCTCACGTGTCGATGTTATAGAGGAGAGGACAGGCACAGCACCCTGGCACATGCCCCCCAGATACTCACGATCTCAATCACGTTTCAAATTCTAACTGGCTAGTCTTTTAACTCGCAGGGTCCCACCGGGGATTCCAAAACCCCTAGAAAAGAAGAAGAATTCTTCACATCGTTCTAAAAAATTAATATTATATTAATATTTTTCTTGTTTATATAAATATTATTTTTATTAAAAATTATTAGTTATCAAAATTAATTCTTACATGAAATTAATATATTATGTTTTTTTAAAAAATATATCTAAAATTAAGATGATAAAAAAAATCTTTAACTTAATTAAAGATCAAGTTTAAAATAATTTTTGAAAACATAATATATTAATAAAAATATTTTATTTTTAAAATTTTGACATACAGTAAAGTGCTTACAAATGAATATTTTTCATGTAATTAAATTTTTTTCTTTAAAATTTTAATGTTAAAGATATTTACATGTATAAAGAAAAAATATAAAGAATATTGATATTTTGTTAGTGAAAAAAATAAAAAAATAAAATTTTTATCAATTAAAAATATTTTAAAAAATATATATATAATTTAAAGTTTTGATTAGATAAATATTTTTTGACAAATATTTTGAAACGAAGAACAACCTCTCTCAAATAGAAGGAGTATTAAAATTTATATTCTACTATTTTGTCAAAATATAAGATCTATGAAGTGATTTTATAGTAAAAATAATTGTTAAATCTCATGTTTTTTTTTATAAAATAACGATATACATTTTATGATGTATTCAATAATTTCTGTAGGGGAAAAAAAAGAAAAAACAAAGCAATGCTTCCTTCTTTTTTTTTGTTTTGTGAAAACGACGCATCGGTGTCAGGATTTAGGCAGAGACAAGGACATTTCGGGAATTGAAGTAACTTGCTGTGGGGACCCTGTGAAATGTGAGCAATCCAGCGCTCCACTTCGAGGCTGATGCTCTTCTGCTGCCGCCGCTGGGTGCTGCTGGATGTCAACCCACAGTGTTTGTTTTTGAATCATTAGTTTGCAAGAAAGAAATTCCTTTTTATCAGACCACTTTTTCTTCTTCTTTTCCCCCACGAAAAAATGGTTAAATATATTTTTCTTTTGTTTGTCTTTAATGTTCTTCATAAAAATAAAGACTCTTTTCATATAACATAAATATTTTACATGATTAGATAATAATATTTATTTTATAACTGTATTATAAATTTTTATTAAATTTTATCAAATGATGATATTATCTCTATTTATAGTATAAACAATTAAGGTTATAAGAAAAAAAATCTAATAAATGTATATATCTGATCTAATATTTTATAGATTTTTTGAAAATTTCGTTTTTTAGCTCTCTTAAGGGACATTGTCTTTTTTATTTTCGTTCATTAACCAACTAATAAAACCGACATCCTAAATCTATATAATATTTTATATTACAAGTTTTTATCCACATGAATCTTCAAGATTTAACATAAGCTTGCGTGAGTCCGTAGAAAGCAAGTTCATTGCTCAGTGAGTGCATAATGAATTAATTGACATGACATGAGATGCAATCAATGACGTAAATACATAGTACAAATGTCTCATTATCTGACTTGAGCTTATTGATGATTAAATCTCTGCCTTTTTTTTCTTTTTTTGTGGATTTGATACAATACCCATCTCGAAAAATGCTATCGGATTACAGTATTTGAAAGTTAATTTATGGTTTTTTATTATTTTATTTCAATTTAGCGCTTTAACGGCCATTGACATTTTAGGAATGCAAGTATTCTAATTTTAAAAGATGTTTATCATAGTCTCAGTTTACAATTTTGCAACGTTGAGTTGTAAATACAATCCAACGAACTGAATGCATACGAACAAGTAAAAAATGTCTATGTTAGTGGTTAAAAAAATTGTTTTTTATTCTAAAAAATATTACAATGTTTTTTTTTTTCAAAATTAATAAGATTTTTTTCCTATATTGTACCTTAATTAAATCGTTTTGATAAGCAAAAAAGCTTCACTATTGGTCACCGACTCATTCTTATAACTACATGGGATTAGACAAGGGGAATGTTTCATAGCCATCTAAGTTCTCACAACAAAATATTGTAATAATTTTAAGTTATTCTGCAATAACTTATTATCAGTGCCTTTCCTCTACTTTACGTACGGCAGAATGACCAAAATTACTGCCATGCATACACAATATTACTGATGAGTGATGACTACGAATTGCTGCCCTTTATCTATATCTATAAAAGAATCGAATTCACTTAAATTATTGGATAATCATATCTCGTTTTTAATAATCTATTACTAAGGCATCATACGTAAGTTCTAAAAAACAAAAGGCTCATAGCTAGCTAGGCTTTTGCTGATCGTAGCCATTTAGTCAAAATAACAAATTATTTTGATGTAATTGTTTTGTTTTATTTGCTGTGATACATATCTCATTTTAAGAACATGCATGAGATTTGTGAATAAATGATTATTTGATAACGAGTAAGAAATATCCGTCTTTTTAACTAAATATAATGTGTTGTAGGCATAATCCGTACGATCGATTAAATACTTTTTATAAATGGCATCTAAGTAAAAACAAACCATTGAGATTTAAAGGTCAAAATAAATTTATTTATTTGATGTTATTCAATGGCATTGCTGTTTGGTGATGAAAAAAAAATCCAATATGAGATATTAATTTTTTATTATTTTGGGGAATTTATTCAATCTAAATTGTCCATACGAGACATCATAATAAAATTCCATGTGTATATACCCAAGCATATGTTTGTGTGGCAGACGTGAGTGGTGAAAATTAAAGATCGTCACCATCAAATGTTCTTCTTCAACCACAATACATACATACATACATATATATATATATATATATATTGTGTTAAAAAAAAATTGAAATACAGCTACATGGGTCAATTAAGTAACTTTAAAATTCGTAAAATTATTTCCTTCATAGGCAATCAAATTAGAGTTGCAAGTTTGCAACAGCTACACTAAAAATCAGAATTAACTTGCGTGAGAGCCACGTCTAAGGGTTGGATCATAACTTCTAAACAAATAGAAGACATGTATGATGTGTTTGATTAAGCAGCTAATTAATGCGTAATCATTGCTTAAGTTTAATGCATTGGCACTTCTTTGACAACTAATTGCCAACCAAATACCTACATTAGCTAAGTTGTTGAAATTTTGAGCCGATGTGATGTGGAGAACAAGTTTCTTGCTTTGAAAATCACATGGTCATTCATCAATGGTCTTCATCGTCCACATCATGATCGGGAACAACAAGAGGGAATGAGTGGTAATAGCAAATCAAGTGGTTGGATCAAGGTTACCAATTAAGGAAAAAGGTGAATATATAGGGATGATGTAAGGCAATAGTAATTAGTTGAAGGTAACATGGTCAAGCAGGGTACATGAAAGGTTAGGTAAGTTCGTAGTTGAAAATGACCAATCAGAATCTAGAGAGGACCAAAATTAAAGTACATTGGATATTTAGGAAATCGAACGACATCCCTAGATTAGAACCCGCTGCGACATCGGTTTTAGATCGGGGTTGTAGGCTGTCCTTGACCACAAGGAGTGACTTAATAATAGAAGATTTGGACTTTTAACAAAAAGTCGAAGGTTCAAACCTCATTTTTCATATTTATTTATAAATATTATAAAATTTATATTGGTTTTCTCGATTTTAAGAGCTCATGTTTATTTATAAATACTATAAAATTTATGTCTGTTTTTTCGATTTTAAGAACGTGAAGGATTTGAAATTTTTGATTTTAAAATTAATTCATAAAAATTGTTGAAGGATGGTTAATCATTGAATTATGAAAAGAAAATAAAAATAATGGAGTTGTAGGGAAGTAAATTTTGAGGTACCATATTTTAGAGCTCGAGAAATTGAGACAAACCTGCAATTGCTTCAAAATGCCAATAACTATTCCAATTATTTTAAGTATTTTCGATTGCTTAATCTAGCTTCACAGGTAGTACAAGACAAGGCACACTGGAGATATATTTGCTTATATTATACTAGATGCATCAGCAATGACAATTAATGCCCCCTTTTTTTTTTTGTCGATTTTCCTAATTATTAATGCCCATTTTTTTGTCGATTTCCCTAATAATTAAGCTGTCCTAATCCAAATATTCACAAGGAATTAACTTGGTTGATTAAGATTGATTGTTCTTTAATAATTCAAAGGCCACTATCACCCCATCCACAGAAAAAGATAGATGTTTGGACCCTATTGCCTTGACATAAAGTTTGAAAGGAGAGGAGAAAGATACCAAACAGTCAGATACTATTATATATAAATCAACACAAACTTCTTCATTTAGAATAGAATTGTATAGTATTAGGTTTTTATTCTTTCAAGTTAGGTTCTGTGTCCCTTCAACTGTAGTATATACATTTTTCAGTGAAAGATTTCAGCTATCTTAAGCAGCCACAATAATGGAGAAAAGGGAACACTTGGAATCTTTAACCTTTCTTGCATTTATCGGCCGATAGGAACTAAACAACATAAACCTTAAAACGCACGGAAACGGTTTAGGATCAAAGGGACCCATTTGCTTGAGCGGTGGGAAGAAATCTGCCCTTAAAGGGGTTAGGTTGAAACCAATCACCAAAATCAAATTGATGGAGAAGGAGCCAGAAAATCATCGTGTGTTTGAATGCCCATTAATTTTCTTGCATTGAAACTCCATTTAGTAAAATGAACCTTAGCCATGTGCTTTTAGAGACTCAATCATTAAAAAGGTTTCATAAAGTTGAGAGTTTGGTATCCTGAAAAAGTTCTTGGCAAACTTTCAAACCCCACTACTTAGGGTTCATAATGAAGCTTTAATAAAACTTTCTCTGCTATATCAAAAGAAGTTCAAACCTTTATCATAATGGATTTATGTGCTCTCATCACTTTCTTAATAAAATGTTCTAATCTCTTTCTGAGAAAATAATAGTCTCCTCTTGATCCGGAAAAGATTTATATAATATGCAATTTCAAGAGGTTGCTTTGACGGTAAAAAAAAGTTTCCACCATTAATTTAATATATTTTGTTTAAATTCTAAATCGACCTGGAGGATGCGTTCTTAATTAAAATTATTAAAAAAATCGTTCAAAAAGAGGATTAAGTAGCACTTGATGTACAAATTGGTTAAAAACTATTCATTATCGTTAAAAAAAAAAAATTATGAGAGAGTAATATGAAATTATTTTTGAAATCTCACTCAATATTTTAAGTTTTTAGATTAAAATAACTTTTCGACGTGATATCAAATCAATTTCTATTTTTAAGGATATTAAAACCTTGATGATCAAAGGCGATAAGTTCAAATATTATTATTTTTATTTTCTCTTCTAATTGTCATTAAATATAAACAGTAGTGAGCTTTTACAATTTTCAAACCTAAAAAATTTTCACTTTAGAGTTTGTGTTAAAAACTAATACTTATAAAACCATTTTTATAATCATATCTAACAATTTAATTTTTTTTTGAGTTGAAATGCAAACCACTGTGAATGCAAGCAAATAATGAATTTGCAATCAGATGTATAGCTATACTTTGTTTATCAAATTTTGATACTAATAAATTACAGATGTAAACAGTTTAATGATTCTCGATCAAAATCTTTGAAGACAACATTAACTGCATGTTAAACATATGTTTAGGCATGTCATGGATAAACTAATTATTCTCTCGACGTCTGACTAGTCTAATATTTTCAGTCTACAAGAACCCATCAACTTTGCAGTATTTTACACATGTTTTTTAGGAGAAAGAAAGAAAAAACTCCATAATTAATTAACTTGATGTGCCTTCTTATAGCTCTATCTTGCTTGGTTTCTGTTCATTTTTCGTCTCAATATATGTACTCACTCTTCCACATTGACGATGTTGACATTAATTAGTTTTCTTTAATTTGCATAATTCATTCTCTATTTTTTTTGTCCACTTTCAATAAAAAATTACATGTGCGCCCTAATTGTTCAATAAAAAATACTTTTGATATTGTGTATTCTTATACACGTCTTGCATTAATTAATTCAACGTCTTATGACAATAAAATCGTATAATTGGTCTAACATTGCTGCACATTTTAGGGGATTTTTTTTCTTTCAAATAGATATTTTTTAATTCAAAATAAACATATCTATCTGTCATTATATAATATTCAAAATTTTCATATATCTTTGAGTTTTTAATTGCATTTTATTTATTCTTTAAAGTGTTTGAAATGTTTTATTTGTCTTTCCAATAAATTTTTCCCGTCAAATAAAAAAAATTGACCGAAATGCTCATGATTAAAATGAAAAAAAAATTCTAAAGACTTCAAAAATAAAATATGTAAGTCATGTGACTTTAAGTATTTTTATTTTTTTATTTTTTTGGTATTTTAGTAAAGAGCATTTTGGTAAAAAAAAAAAATAGAGTAAATTATAAATTAGTCCCTTTCTTTTCGAGAAACGAATTAATTAGTTTATCTAGTTTCAAAATCTAATTATTTAATCCTTTTAACTAGTGTTTATCACAATTAATTTAATATTTTTTTATTTTATAAAATATATCCTCTTCTCGTCAATCTTTCCATAATTTTTACTTTTTTTTCTTTTCTATTTCATAAAATTTAAAACAAAAATCAAAATAAATTAAAAAATAGCAAAAAAAGACTAAATGATTGGGTTTTGAAACTAAGGAGACTAATTAATTCATTTCTCAAAACGGGATAAACTAATTTATAATTTACTCAAAAAATTTATGATCGAAAAATTTAATCGGAAGAACAAATTAAATATTTTAAAAAATTTCAAGGACAAATGGAATGTAATTAGAAATTTAGAGATAAATAAAATACTTTGAATATTATATAAAGATAGTGAATATATTTCCCCGTTTAATATATTCTTTCAAAACAAAATACTTTAAATCTTATTTATATATATAAAAAAAGTAGTTTTTGGTATGTAAACATTCATATCATTTTTTTTTCCTTTTGATTAAATTGAAATGAACGACATTGTCCAACGAAAGACCCATTATATCTTTAGAAAAACTGTTGTCCCTCAAATCTAAAAACTCCAAGCTCTTAAGATTGCCAAAACCGGAGGGAAAATGCCTTCAAAAAATTGTTAGAGAGAAAGGTTCAAGAGCACTAAATTCTCAAACCTTGGTTGTATGAATTGGCACATGAATCTGCTTCTCTTACAGCTATTTAAAAGGGTAAAAATTTGAGGAATGGAAACCTTAATCATGAGGAGAGGCAAGTGGGACTACATTAACCATGTGCCCATTGTGTTTACTTTTCCAACATCTCATTAAAGATTGTAGTGAACTTTTTATTTCTTTACTTATTTTTTTAGGATAAGGATTTTAGTTAGTAGTTAAAAAAATTTCTGACAATAATTGCAGCATCATCATAGAATCCTTTACACCAATTTAGAGAGAGAGAACAATCAAGTTCCAATATTCTTTAGCACAAGGATATCTTATGTAGTGTAAGATTTCTTCTCGGTATGACTTTTGTGTATCCTCTATTCCTTAGGCACATAGGAACTTGAACACAAGGCTCTTTCTAGGCTGTCACAACCTCAACTAGAAACAAGGGTTTTTTTTTTTTAAACCTCTGAGTGGAGGGCCCTATGGGGTGACTAGAAAATTGTTGGGAGATCTCAAAGAAAAAGAAGATACAGCAAATTGTGCGTTAAATTATTTATGGGTCAAGCTTTTAATGAAAGGTGTGAAACTCACTTGTGCAGTTGGTGACACATTTGCATTTTCATGCTACTTTCAAGATAAAGTGCACAGTTGCATCAAGCGTAAAAATACGAAAAGTTTGACCCTTTCTTTGGCCATGAAACTAGAAACTAGAAAGCAAGATGATTTGTCCAAGGCTTAACAGAAGAATAGAAGAATTTCTATTGAGCTCAGACTGACAAATGGTTCTTCTGTTTGTGTTTGGTCTATATCATTTGCTTGTTGTAATTAAACTTATCTGGGCTTCGAAGCAGTTTGTTTGAGAAGACGATGGGCCAAATTTTCAGGGGATGGAATAGAAGTTATGAAGGACATTATTATTGTGAGGCTTGAGCCCAGCTGGAAATTGAACTTTGGCCTCGGATGCATGTTCCCAGACCAAATAAAGAAGGAGAGCTAGCTGTCCTTGATTTTTTATTAGGTTGGTTCCTCTGGATAAATTTTATAACACTCAAAAAGTAATTAATGATATGAATAGTAGTTACTCCATGAATCTACTTTGAAGAGAGAGATAAACACATTGACTTACATCTTGACCCATCAAAAGTGATAAGAAGATCCGGACCCATTAAAAATGATAAGAAGATTTCCACGTTCGCTCAATTTTTTTTTTTATAAATTTTTTTTTATTTTTTTGTGGCTATCTCTCTCCTGAAAATGAATTCATAAAGTAACTATTATGCATACCACTAATTATTCTTTGAGTATTATAAAATTTCTCAGTTCCTCTGTAGTAGTTCTTCTTTTCCTTGCTTCAATTTGCAACCAAAAACTACTAGACTAGATATTTTGTAGCAATTAAGGTTTAGTTTTGTTTGTATTGATATTATGATATCATGCGGTCCTCTAATAATCAATGTATCGGCCCTCTAATAGTCAATGTATCTGCTGTTCGGTTTTTGAAAGCAACCTGGACCTGACCATCGTTAAGAGCCTTGCATTTTCAGGTCCTTTCAACTTGTACTTTGTGTTCCTCGAAACCAACTAGAGCCACAACTTTGTTAGATTTCATGACTTCAACAATGTCAGTTTCCAGAGGCAATCTTAGTGGGTTTGTCAACGCTTTTACTCCCCCATGTTCCAGATCTGTGCCAGCTCTACAAACTCAGGAACTTCAAGGCTCAGTTCATTGCCATTGATTGCATGGATGCTCGACTGCGGGGTGTCTTAAACATTTAGAAATTTGTCACAAATAGGAGAATTTGTCTTGGAACATGCTAGAAAATCACCACCGATGTAGATACAGCACAGTTGCAAATACTTGCAATTGAAGACAAAATAGTTCATTGGTCAAGTTAAACCAAACTAAACCATGTACTTGATTTTCTGGATAGTTTTTACAAACACCAACTGTGTTATATTTTACAAGAAAATTCAGACCGAGCACTTTTCTCATAATTTTTCTGACAGAACACTTTGACACATCACTAATGAATAGTTACAAAAACTCGATACCTGAAAACGGCTACCTGAAGAGGATCTGGAACAAACAAAGTATATCTCCTAATAATTTCTGATCTTTAGAAACATACCGTGCAATAACAAGCTTGGGCACCAATTGCAAGTCCTTGAAGCAAGCATATTCAATCTTGGAACGGGTCCATCTTGCAATAAAACTACCTGTTTTGATGAACTAAAATTCAACTGGCTACTTTTTACCAAATCTTAAACACTTGTTGTGTTTGGCTTCAATACTTGGGTTCTGAGTAAGTTGCTTTGTTGGTTTCACAATGGTGATTTTCTCCATTGCATTTATGAACTTTCGTAAGTGCTTGATGTACTCAGGGTAAGTTTCCAGGTTGCAATGTCCACCACCTTTGACCCACAAGGGATCATATTTTTCCTTGGCAAGTTCCCACAGGCGCTTTCCATGGGACAAATCAACAATATCATCATTTGTTCCCTGAAAGGGTTCAACAACAAATATCATCCATGATAGCAGGAAAAAAATGCACTAATTCAAGCTGAAATCAATATTAAATATCAACTGTATATAAAAAGTCACAGATGATTCAACCATATCTTCAGCAAGAAGGGGTATCTGGAACTAAAAGATAAACACAATAAATAACGTGGCATCACAGCAATGCTTGTAAACTTAGCAGAGATTATTATGGACTAACGAAAGAAAATGACAGAAGTCAATCTTTTCATTCTAATTTCAATTCATTTGAACCCTGTGCAAGCAGGGTTTCACTCAGCACTATTTCCTTATAAGCAGTATCATTCCAAAGAAAGTCAATGGTTGTTTCTAAGATTAAGCTCCCTGGTTGCCTTGCTTCGTTTACAAGCCAAGTTAACCAACAAGCCCAGTACATCTGGCAGAGGCACCTTGGAAGTAAGAGAGAGATCTAAGGAAAAAAGAGTCATAGGAACCCTCATGTATCTTGGGTTAGGTTCATCTCAAGTCCTTGGATAAGCATATTTAAGTGTCTTACACAAAAGTGCTGACATTAAATGTAGATTTATCATGAACCCTGGGTCATTGGCAACAATATATACAGTCCTCCATTAAAAATATGCCATCCCTAATAGTGTTTCTTTGACAAACCTAAAAGCAAAAACATCTGAAATCATTTGCACTTCCCGAAACTATAACAATTTCTGGTAGTTTAAAATCTAAAATATCTTTTTTGTCTCGCTTCCAGTTTTGTCAAGATTGGCCATTCTTCAAACAGATAGCTCTGGGTGTTCTAGCAATGAAAAATTCCTGCAGATGATATCTAAAGATTTCACAACTGAAGGTTTCTGGCCAAAATAATAAAAGAGAAAGACTTACATGGATAACCAGAACAGGGCAGCTGACAAGGCGTATTTTGTCTATATTCTGTACAAGTTAGATACAGCATCTTCAGTACAAACCTAATTTAATTTCTATCCAAGGAACAAGAGATAAAATGATATCCGGTGCTAAACTTACCTTGAAAATGTCAAACCAAAATGTCATCTTGACAGGATACAACACCCTTATGCCTGAAAGAATTGCACTGTGAAGAACAACACCTCTCAACTTCTGTAAACGAGAAGCCAAGTGCAGGGTCGGACCACTTCCAACAGACTGACCATACAAAATTAAGTCTTCCTGCTTTATTCCATAATCCTTCTTCAAACAATTGTACACAGCCTCAATGTCATGGTATGTGTTGAACTCAGATGGCTGTTACAGACACAGAAATAACAATTAATCAGGTATAGCATAGCATTAGTGAGATATTAGGAGAGTTAGATCAAAAAAGGGCTAGACAATTAGGATTAGATGCTGGTTTCTAGCTACCATTAGCCATTTCAGGAAACTCTCTGGACAATTCATCATTCAGTTCCAAAAAAAAAAAAAAAGAAATGCAGATTGATATTATGGATTTTCTTTACCTTGCCAGAAGATGCTCCATATCCTGAATAATCATAGCTGCAAAACAGGGAAAAAAAAAAAAAAAACCTTAATTACTAAAAAAATGTTCATAACCATGATTATTGTAAGCATATAATTGGCATAGCTGCTTCATTGAAAAACATTAATATCCTGAACAAATTTTTTCATCTGAATCTTAATATTAGCATATCAATGTGACAGCAAGTAAATTAATCTCCTAACAAAAACATCCCTCATGGCATGCGCCCAAAAGCAAATACACAAAACAAAATCAAGAAAGTTTCAATTAAAATTTTAATTAGTTAATACAAGAAAAGTCCATGTTAATGTGAATAGATGAGATGGTGACAACTCAAGCCCTACTAATTCCAGCGAGATTATGACAAAAGCAGGAAATTTACTTTTGGGGGTTATATTTAAATCAGAATTCAAGAGATAATTTTCTTGTTTCTTTATGTCAAGTCCATTTAGCCTTGATGTAAGGTCGCAGTAGAGAAAATGAAAATACATTCAATGATTACAAAGTCAGCAACTTTCACAGTGTGACACATGATATTATCCTTCATTAATGAAATTCACAGATGATGTAGCTCCAAACACGCAAGACAAGAAACACCTCAGATAAAGAAGAGAGAAAAGGACCATACGGCAAATCCACAATTCAAAGACTCCCTTCTTTTTCAACAAATAATAATAATAATAATAATAATCCACAAAATGATCTTCTCAAAACAAGAAAACAACATAAGCAAACCGCTTAATTCAACCCAGAAAAGTTAATAATCCACAAAATGATCTTCTTAATCAATCACCAATTGGGGAAAACAGAAAATTAGAATATATTCATATATAACCAATCACCAAACAAGAACATGTATAGGTACAGAAATAAACATAAACAAATGACAGCACGAATTAAATTCCACCATTAGCAAATAAAAACCAATTTCATGAAAATCATGAAACCCAAGAAAAAATCAGGTATTGAATTAATTACCAAAACAGCCACGAGAAAAAGAAAAAAGAAAAAAGACAAGCCTAGCAACAACAACCCCCCCCCTCCCCCCACACCCACCCCCAAAGAAAAAAGAAGAAGAAGAAGAAGAAAGAAAAAAGAAGCCATACCCACCAAAACATACCTCATAATATTGACTCTCAAATGAGCTCTAAGTTCAATGAAAAGCTCATGCATTTGTCCAAGGTCAGCAGCATTTCCATGAGAGTACAAAACTGTGAATCGTGCAAAAGGGTGTTTCCAAAACGTAGCCACAATCTTGTTTCCAACTTTAGTTTCCAACAAATGAACATCCATGTTCTTGTCTGCAGTTACACCTGGTAACACCAGCCTCCCATCTCCTTCTCTAAACACATCATACGTCGGGGGGTCTGGCGGGAAAAACGCAAATTTTGCTGCCACACTTGACGTTACATTTCCCATTTATGTCAACACAAACGTTTGTATCTTCTTTGTACTCTTATATTTAAGACAAGGCAATATAAAAACAAAGAAATCAAGGCAAAAGAAAACAAACCAAACCCAGTTCAAATTTTATGATGACAAAAAAAGGGTGTGATTCAATACTGTCATTTGGTGATAAAAAATGTTAAAAGTTTTGAACTTTTTGTTTTTTGGCTATGGTGTTCATAGGTTAATGTGAAGGGATCCGATCTAAGAGGATGAGCTGGAAATGGTGGTAATGGAGGAGATGATGGAGGAGGGAACAGGAACCCAGAAAATGAATAATAAGGATTGTTAGGGACCATAACACGAGAGAGAGACGGAGAGAGCAATGTTTGTTTGTTTAATGTAGTTTAGTTATTGATGATGATGATGATGATGGAGTGATGATCTGTGTAAGACTTTTCTTTTCTTTCTATTTTTGACTGGATGACACCCCTTGTTTTGAGTTGATTGTATAGATGTACATTTCTGACCTTTCGTTCTTTTCAGGTGAATACTATTTGTCCCCTGTAAAAAAAATTATAATTAAATCCACATCATTATCAACTGTAATCTTCTTGTCATTTACGGAAGGTGTAATCCTAATCATTGAAAATAGCATTAATAATTTGGTTTCTCTTAGAAGGCCAATTTAGTCTTTTCAAAGAAGATCCTTGTATTAGCCCATCTCTTGTCCAAAAAGTTCACTCAAAACAAGCGTCCTTACAAAATTAATAACTCAAAATTAAAGTGGAAGGAAAGACCAAAGATAGAGAATAAGAAAATAAAAAAACGAAAATCTAAAGCAGGGAAGATGGACGGCTAAGATTTGGTCAAAGGCTGCTGGGGATCTTAGAAGAAAGAGAGAGATTGAGGGTCAGAAATTGTCAGATTCAGACATTCCCTCGTTTGCTTTGCTCAACTTGTGTATGTCTATGTGCTTCCCACATTATGACAGTTGCTTTGCCCCTTTCTCTTCTCTTTCTCTCACAGTCAATTTTGTAACAATTGCCTCTTGAAACAGCCTTCGCTGTTTATCCATAAAACAATCTCTAACCATCCTTAAAGCCTCCTTTAAGCTAGAATTGAACTTTTAACAGCGAAAAGCTTCTTTTGTAAGTGGAGATTAGATGGGGGTAGGAAATGGTGAAAACGCATGGTTTTGAGAGGACAATTGGGTAGGTGGAGAGTAGGGACTTGGGGCCTTAGGTATTAAAAAGTGGGGGACCTGAATTCATCCCTATAAATCGAAAGTGAGACATGGGGTACCTAATAATGAATATTTATAGATAGAAGGTGAAGAATCATGAAAGAGATAAAGATAATGTTTGATGAATCCACTGAAGTGCAAATTCCAATTCCAAAAATAGACATTCAAGATCTTTGCTTATGAGCCAGGAAAGGTGCTCTCCAAATTCATTAGTTACTTTGATAGTTGTGGAATATTCTTTAACCATTTTTCATGTAGTTTAACTATTTTATGATGAGATTATCCATGTTGGGAATGATGTATTTATGATTTTTAACTCGTAAATCGTAATGTTTATCTTTGGATTCGATTAAAAAATGATAATATCATGTGCAAATCTACTTACCACTCTACCGATCTTTAACTTACTTTTGTCTATATTTTTCTTTTTCTTTTTTACGAGAGTTTTACTTTTCTGCATATTACTGTCTAAATTCATAAAAATGGTATTTGGCGTTTAAAGACAGACAGCTCTCATCGAAAAACTTAAGATTTTCATGATCCTCTATTGGCATGCCATCCCCTTCTTCTAAATTTACTTTTGCGGCTTCTCACTGCACCAAAAAAAAAATATATATATATGCATTTTGCTTGTCGACAGAAAGTGATTTTGGATTAGTGGCATATTTTAGGTTGAGATATTCTGTTTTATGGTGGTCAGGTGATCCAATCACAAGCTGTTATTGAAGTAATTAAAGCAGACAGGACAGGGGACAAAGGCAAATTATTACAACCTAACACTTCCTTAGTTTATTAGTAGCAGTGCATAAACTGAATTAAATATCTCTAATTCAAAGGTTTTTCCAATTTTTAAAACACTTCGGTCCAAAGGCGAAGACCGGGTCAAAAAGCCCACAGAATGCTTGGAAGTTGGTGCACTAAAAAAAGAGAAAGGAAGCTAAGGCATTTAGGATGACTAAAGAAACCCAATGGGATTTGATTAAGAGATTGATTTTGGTGGATAAGGTTTTTTTTTTTTTTTTTTTTCATTCAAATTTTAAAGGTAATATTCCAAAAAAAAATAATTTATGTGAAGGTATTAAATTGACGTGGAGTATGCATTTTTAAAAGTATTCTAAAAGAAATTTAGTTTCGATTAATATTAAAATTAATCTAAAAATATTTTTATTATTATTATTTTAAGTCCAACGATAGAGATATCTTCATATTAGATTTTGCGTATCTCAAAACTAATTTTTTCTGAATGTAACTAAAGAGTACTTCCTGATGCATAACCTTAAATATTTTGAAAATAAATTTTTAAAAATATTGATAATAAAAATCAAATTATAAACTTGACCTATAAGTCGATATTTATTTATCAACGAATTATTCAAAATATTCTTTGACATTGAAAAAATAAACTATGGCTAAAGAAAAAAGAATATGAATCTTAAAAAAATAATATACTATTTGCACATAGAATGACTTGTTCAGGAAACTACTGCTGAGAAAATAAACATTGCCCACAAAATTATACCAAGACCAGGTGGTCTATTACGACTTCCGTTAAGAATCCATGATTCAAAAAAAAAAAAAAAACTCATAATTCAAGAAAAAAAAAACTAACATGAAAAAGATGACCCGCTTCCTAGATTTCTTGAATTATGAGTTTTTTTTTTTTTTAATGCTCCAAAACAATGACTTGAAAATTAAGTTTTGCTCATATGTAAAATCTGAGAGATTAAAATATACTTCCACTCTCGAATCTAGAGGGCAATCTTTCAATATACCAAGGAAGTATATTCAGTAACAAAGATAAAAATAAATGGAGTATCTCTCTAAAGACAGAAAGATCGGTCAACTTCATGGACCACAGTGAGAGGGAAACTCTGGCTATGTGTACCCCTTTAGGACCAGAAACCATATAAGGCGGCATTTTTGGCCCCAACAACATCCGACCCATCAGGATCCATGCAAGGGCATTTAATATCTAACACAGCTGTGGGAAAAAGTGGGAATGATTGGGTCAGAATATTGGAAAAGAATGTGGACATTGTTTTAAAAGTTGTACTGGACAGGAAGCACAGTTAATAGCTGGAAAATAATGGGCCCATTTGGTTGCTAGTATGACCAATGAAAGAGATAAAGACAAATTTGGGGATGATTAAAAGGGAGGCATTTTAGTGTTTTCAAGGGAGCCATTCTTAGAATTCTTGGTTTCTGCTCATTAATTTGAGATGCCAAAGAGAATAAAAGATTCAGGATACTGTGACATGAATGATCTTGTTAGGACATTTTACCTTAAATAATAGAGGGAAAAACAACACAGTTTTAAGTAGATGAATCATAAATGTTTTTGGAAAAAAAGATGAAGTAAAGTTACCAAATTTGTGATGATTTGGAACTCTCCCAAAATGGAGCAGAAAAAACTTATGATGAGGAACAGTAGAGAGCGGATTTAGTAGTTTGTTGTGCTTAAATTGTTTCTGAGAACGGTTTCCCTTTCTGCAACTCTAGAAGCCTGTTTACTTGCTTCAAGCTGTAGGTGAGGAACAAGTCTCTGTCAAAGCCAGCATTGCTGAAATATATTTACTCTCACAACCAATTACATGTACCCATCGAAGGATTCACAATTATTCACAGAGGCGGTGATAAAAGGCATTATCTATCTTGCTAGAGAGCAACATACAACAATTCACAAGGGCTTTGTTCCACCCAGTGCTAACTATTTCGTAACAGATTCAATTACACAGAAAGCTAATTGTCACGTTGAAATAATACCTGCTCCTCTTCTAATGCGGTCTCATTTCCAATAACAGAAACCCAGGTTTCTGCAATTTTATCCACTCTCCCTTCCAAAATCTCCACTAAAGTGAATGCTCGAGTTGTGCCTCTAGACACTGGGGAAAACACTGAAGTTTCGTTATTCATAGAGTTTGTGTAGTCAGTTTCTTGACCAACAACTAATCTTCGAACTCGAGGAACGATGGCCCCATTCAGGTATATAGTCTTCTCAGCACCAACCACAATCATTTTCCGAAGACCATTTCCATATGCTAGCTCTTTATGCATGTGACCAAACACAACCAGGGGAATGCTGATTTTGGTAGTCTCTTTTACATGGGATATTGCTTGTGCTAGATCTGTACCAGAAGATGCTCTTGTAAGTATGGTCGGTTAGAAATAGTTTTCCATCATATAAGAAAAATAATTTGCATGTTATGTGTCTGTTACGCAAGATGCTCTTGTAAACATCCTAGAGCCAAAAATAGTATTTTGTAACAGAGACAAATAAATTGCATGTTTATGTGATATGCTTCTGTTCCCTTTCCATATCAAACTCCTTCAAGGCATCAATCGCATCAAGCTACTTTGCACAATTAGTCATATTAACAAAAGGAACATTCCGAGTCCTTGTCTTGGGATGGTGCCCTATTTTGTAGATCTAACCAATCAGAGATACTCATAACCACAAGCAGCTGAACCTAATATCATTACCTGGATCACCATGGTCACCACCTCCAAACACCCAATCTTTCCCACATATGTCATTCAAGTTAGAACCAAGGCCTGAAAAGAAAGACCAAAATGTGTCATAAAAAGTAACCAAATTATCCTAAACAACTATTCTGGAAGTAACTTTGCCACCAATACACCTGTTGGTCCATTATGTGCAAGAAATATAACAATATGGTCTTCTGGAGTGCCCAAAGCAGCATTGTAGATTCTATTAGCACTTCCATCCATGTCTTGGACTCCATATCTGAAAAGAAAATCTTTTGAACTTTCTAATGTTTTGCTATAT